GATAATGGGTTTTACGGTTAGCCAAACAATGGAACGGGTACACTTACAATTTTGTAAAAAGATTTTGGGAGTTAAAAAAACTACACAAAATGATTTTATTTATGGAGAACTTGGTAGAATATCATTTCATTGTAGACATCTTTTCAATATTGTAAAATTTTGGATGAAAATATTGTGTAGTAATGAAAACAAATATGTTAGTAGAGTTTATAAATTGTTGAAAAGTGATTTTGAAAATAACCCAAATATAGTAAACTGGTGTTCGAAATTAAAACAACTTTTATGTTCTTTAGGATTTTATGATGTCTGGTTACAGCAGAGTGTAGGAGATATTGATATGTTTCTAGCAATTTTAAAACAACGTTTAAAGGACAATTTTGTTCAAAACTGGCATGAAAGATTACATAACTCTAGTAGAGCTTTATTTTATAGGACAATAGCAAATTTTGAGTTTCAATCATATCTAGATATTTTTAATGCAAACAAATTGTGCCAGGCTATGGTAAGATTACGAGTTTCCTCTCATAGGCTACAAATAGAGGCTGGACGTTGGTCCAGACCTACAAGAACTCCAGTTAATGAACGAAAATGTTTAATTTGTAATGTTTTAGAGGATGAATATCATTTTATATTAGAATGTTCAATGTATACTGAATTAAGGAAACAATTTATTCATAAGAAATACTGGAAACATCCAAATATGGTAAAATTTATTGAATTGTTAAACAATGAAAATGATACAAATAGAAAGAAACTAGGAATTTTTGTATATAAATCTTTTGAAAAGAGAAATGAAATGCTATACGGTTCAGTTGAGTAATGACTTATTTTTGTTGTAAAGCTACTTATATGCATAGTTGTAAAATGTGAATTTAAAACATCGTTCTAGATAAAAAAAAAAAGACATGTAGAAATTTGATATTTAATGCAATTTTCATGTTACATGCTTAAATTTAATCCATGTTTCCCGTCTTGCATTTTGTTTCGGTAAGGCTGGTAGTTAAAATGGATGTAATTTGTATGTTCTTGTTATACTATATATATAAATATTGTTATTTTTGTACTAAATTCATGCAAGGGTTATCTTTCTTTTTACGAGAAAGATAACATATTACTACATGTATCTCAATGTATATATATATACAAATTCTGATTGTAATTTAAGGAGAAAATAATGTTTTTCAGATTACTAGTCTTAACAAATTTATACTAAAGTCATACTTTAAATGATATGAAATGAAATTATTAAGAATATTAAGCTTTCTTATGTCATGCTTGACCTTCTCCAATGAAAAGTCTATGTAAATCTAATATTAATTTTGTTCGCTGTATTATGCACATAAATCATGCTTACTTTGTATTGTACATGTATATATGTATGCTTGTATTGCCATCATGGGCGAATAGCCTTATGGAATAAATGAAATAAACTCTAAACTCTAAACTCTAATAAGAACGGCGAGTGCATTGTTGTAGAATAATGCACGCTTCGGGCCTTCTTTGTTTATATAGAAACATTTCCGATAACTTGTGATTAAAGGTAGTTTGCCTAAAAAAACGGTGACAGGATAAATAGAATAATAGATTGGTGCCGTGGATGGAGAAAGTTTATCTGGCTCTGCTCCGGAATTTATTGGGTTCGCCTTCGGCTCACCCAATAAATTCCTCCGCCTCGCCAGATAAACTTTCTCCATCCACGGCACCAACCTATTATTCTCTATTTAAACGGTGTTTAATTTTGGTATGTGATAAATAGAATATTAAATTCGTGTAAGTTCATTACTGAATTTATTGCACTCGTTGAATAAAATAATATTATGCTCGCCAGAGGCTCGCATAATTTTATTCAACTCGTGCAATAAATTCAGTATTGAACTTACACTCATTCAATATCCTCTATCTATTGAACACGGATGAAGTATGTCGACATACCATAACTAGTATCCCCCTACATGAACGCGCCAACAGGGTGTACGATATACGCTTCCATACAAAAGTTGTTGCTTTTTTCCTTTTGTTTTGAGCGGAGGGGTGGGGGGGGGGGGGGTAGTCATCTTTCGGAACTATTTTTACTGTCCAACAATAAATCAGATTTGAGACTTGCTCGCTCAAAATCATCTCTGGTTTCAGAATGTGTGTAGTTACTGCGGCTAACTGTTTTATCATTCATCAAATCATTATATTATTATTATACTGTGTAATTACTGGCCTAGAATAGTCGCGGTTTCCTCTAAGAATTTTTGTTTAGCGCGAATATTTCTATGCCATCCATCCTTCGTGTATTGGTTACAGTCTATTTAATTCCATAGTCAGGCATGTGTAATGTATGTATATGCCAAAGTTAAATTCTGAGATATTTTTGTTCTGGGTACAACATTAATTAACCTTGGCTAGTATAGCTCAATCGGTCTATGTGTGTGTAAGTCACAGCCTTCATACTTTAATACAAACATACATCTGTATTAACGTATTGAAATTTTATAATGACCTTTAAATGGCTTTAAATAATGATCCATGGGATTTTCAAAAAAAAGGGAAATAACTCCCTGTATCTACGTCACTTATTTTATATGGACATACTCCTTCGTTCAAAATTTACAAATGCATTGTGAAAACTATCTGCTTTTATTACTGATATGAAGAAGAACGTTTATTTCACTTAAACTACAAGTTTCTCGTGATTAACATATATACAAGCATACATATATAATGACATGAAAAATACAATGACATGAAAGTAAACTAGGGGTGTCATCGATTCAATCGATATCGGTGTATCAACGATCTTTGTTATCCGATTCGATATCGATTCCATTTTTTTAAATATCGGATATCGAATGCACATATATTTCTAGCTAAAGAGACTTCAGCGAACAGGTTTTATAGAACTGATAGACCTGTTTACTGTCGCAAAACGTCAAAATAAAAGCGACATATAAAGTTATGGAAGCCAGAAACATTTTTTTTTTCTAAAATGAAAACGGAAATCAATGCCAAAGTTACCTCCCAGTGTCTCTAACGAATGCTGCCTAATTTCGTTGTAATCTCGCACGTCTGCTAAGTGGATGTCAAGACCCCTCAATTCAGATTTTAAAAAGGGAAAACAAATACATATCTAAGCATTAATAATCTGATATCGTAATTTGAAAGCTTCATTAATATATTGACAGAGCATAATTGTTTCTTTATTTTTATCACTTTTTAATAATTGAGTAAATTTAAACATACTTGGTCTATTTCTATAATAATTCTTAATATATATTTTTCTTAAATTTTCATATGCAGGACACTTAAACACAAAATGGAACTCGTCCTCAATTTCATTTGTATTGCAAATTAAACAATATCTTAAATTTCGCTCTACTCTTTCACGTGAATATCTTTACCTGTCTGTATTCTAAGATTATGAGCTGAAATACGCAGTTTTGTCAAAGCTATTCTTAGTTTTCTTGATACAATATTTTCTAAAAAGGTGACATTTCAAAACTGTCCTTTACTGATTTATATAAAAATAATACATCATTACAATTAATACTAGCTCTCCATTCTTGTAAATATATATCTATTAATCTCTGTTTAAAAACGACAATAAAACAATTTTGATTAACGCTTAAAGGGTTTAACCATACATCAAAAAACCGTATTTTTCTAAAAGACTTCGTACATTTGCAAACCAATTTGTATACCCTATATTTATATCAGACATACACGAATTAACAATTGTAGTTATAATAATATTACTTGAACTTATTATCTTAAACCAAAATTTTACAATTCGAACATATCTGTTTATATACAACGGATATCTTCCAAGTTCACCATACACAGCTACGTTACTAGTAGATTTTCTAACACCAAGAATAGTTTTACAAAATTTGAAATGAATATTTTCTAACTTTTTTGATTTGTGAAAACCCCATACTTCACTTGCATACATTAAAATAGAACCCATAAAAGAGTCGAACAACTGTAGGGCTATTTTTGGTTTTGTTTCATATTTTTTCAAATTTGCCACTAAATTATTTAGGGCTTTTAAACTTTTACCATGTAAAGTTTGAGTATTTAAGTTAAAATTTCCTGTATAATTCAATGTAACACCTAGATAATTAAAATCATTTACAATTTCTATATTATCTTGACCATAAAACCATTTTTCTCCTGCTCTTAAACCACCTCTCTTACGAAAAACTACGATTTTGGTTTTGTTTACATTAACTTCTAATCCCCATTTATTGCAGTATTCATGAAGCTTATTTAATGAATTTTGAAGATCTAGAGGATTTTCATCAATTAATACCATATCATCAGCAAACAGAAGTAAAATTAGGCAAATGTCTTGAAGATCTATACCAGTATTTAAGTTATTTTGCAAATAAAGTTCTAGATCTTCAATAAACAAGGAAAACATAACTGGCGAAATTATCTCCCCTTGCCGTAATCCAATCGAAATATCAAAAAAATCAGAATAGTTACCACAGGACTTAACACAAGATTTAACAGAGCTATACATACTTCTTATTATTCTTAATAATTTACCATTCAAACCAGCATAATACATCTTAAACCAAAGTGCATTCCTGTATATAGAATCAAAACAGCGTTTTAAATCAATAAAAGCACAATACAATCTTTTATTTTGGTTCAAATATTTTTCAATTATAGAATGCAATATAAAAACAGCTTCTGTAGTCAAACTACCTTTTCTAAAACCAAACTGCGCATCAGAGATAATATTATTTTCATCACACCATTTAGTTATTCTTTGATTTAAAATACTAGTAAACAATTTACCAAGATGACTTAATAAAGTTATTCCTCTGTAATTTTGTACTTTTCTTTATTTCCTTTTTTATGTAATTGTATTATACAACATCTTGCCCAGATTCCGGGAAAAATGCCATATTCTAAAATATTGTTAAATAGCTCTTTTAAATGTCCAGGCAAAATATCGCTTGCTTCTTTAAAATATTCGTTTAAAAGATTATCTATCCCTGCCGCTTTATTTCTTTTAAGCTTAAGTACTTCCTGTAAAGTAATATTTTCATCTAATATAGAAAAAAACAGGGTTAAAATCATGAAAATCATGGACATTGTTAAAATCTTCAGCTCTTTCATTCAAGGAAAAATTTACTTCAGAGAACATAGTTTCAAAATATGTTTTAAAATCGTGCAAAGGTATTTCACAATTATTACGTCCCTGTTTCTTTTTAAAATAGCGCCAAAAATCACGTGGTTTACTCTTTTTTAAATTTTCAAAATTTTTAGTTTGTTGCCATTTAAAAGAACGACGTTTTTTCTTAACAACATATTTATACCTAGCTTTACGTTGAACTAATTCTGATATGTTTCACATATTTGAACACGTCTGTTATGTTTCACAGTTCAATTTGTGTTCCGTTTACTGTTATACTATGGGGAAAAACACACACCAACATTAAATCTTCTTTCCTTGTCTGTCTCGTCCATTGAAAAGAAAGGAGATGAAGAATGCTGAAAAATAAAGATATTTATAACTGACAAATGAATCGAGTGAAGAAGATTATTGAAGTACAATTTGGAACGATTTTACTAATTCGTTTATTAATTTTATTATTGATCAAGACATATTAAAGCCGATGTGTTGTCTTGATTTTTTTACATTACTATTGATATAATTATATTATAAAATATACAAAATACATAACATTATCTTACAATACAGACCCGTTTGAAAGAAATTAAAAACAGTTTATGTCTAATCATAACCCCTAAAGGTAATTATGTAATTATTAGACGCATAATAATTAGACAAAAATGAAATAAACGATTTATGGGTCGTAAGACCGACTGCAACTGCTTAAAATGTTTATTTTTTCTTATTAACGTGACGTATTAACTTAGCCTTTAGACGCGCGTAGTATTAATCTGTTAAACGTGACATTTAAATAATTTAATAAACACTTTGCAAGACAGTTTATATTTCAAAGGCATTGTCTCTATAAAATCACCAAAAGCGTCTACGGTAGACGTTAATTGAACTTTTGACCGTCTGCTCAAAATGAGAACGAAGATTAACTGAGGTTAGCTAAATAACTTACGTATAACTGATAAACCAGACGATATAAATTGTAGACCATGCCAACCTATTCGGGATTTCAAAGCCATGCCCGTAATTCCTGCTGTTAAATTGCCAACACCCTGAAAAAAGTTGTTTTTTTTTAACTTTGTGACGATTGGTCTTTAAGAGTATGTGTCCTAAACTAGGTGTGTTATACAGAATTAACTTTTAGTATTCTTTATGAATTAGCAGTAAATGTTATTTCATACTTGCGATAAAATGAATGAAGACTAACCGCTGCTGACACTATGAAACCATAATTTAGAGCCATGTTTTTCGGTCCATATAATTTAGCTAGAACCGAAGGTGTAACGGCCCACATCCCGCAGAAAAAGAAAAATAAGGCACAGATCCACACGGCGAATAGTTCCTTCGGAACGAGCTCGGTCAGCTGAAGTGTTCCAGCGAACACCGCAAGACCTACTGATAAACATCGGATTGTTGCCTGCAAAAATAATGTGGTATTTACTGAAATGCTAATTGCGCATGCGTGCTTCCTAAATAAGGTACAATTGGTTTTTTTTCTGAATTTTCATATTCATTTTTTCAACGAGTTTTATTTTCAAAATGCCAAACACACGAAATTATGATCCAGTATAAGATGTACAGGTGTATAAGATAGACTCGTTCCAAGATTTCCTGATCAAGTTATGAAAATAAGTTTACCTTATATCCAAATTTGTCCATGAACGCACCCCAGAATGGGCGTCCTAAACAGTTGAAAATCGAAGACACCGATCCCACCATTGACAGAAAGTGGTCATTTTCAATAAATGTTTGGCCATATGCCTGCAAATATTACAATTCAATTTTTGTCTTCGGCTACTCTTCAAAAAAATATATGATTTAAAGGGAATCAGCGGGGATGTTTTAATTGACATGATGGGACTTGAAATATTTTTCCGAGACTGATTTAGGTACCATTGTAGCTCTAGATTAATATCTTGTGTGCAAATATTCAAATTATTCCATCACTCCGGTTCTTAAGAATATGCCAATAGACTTTGTTCGAATACACTGTACATTGATTTAGTGATGAAAAATAAAATATTTAATGATAACAGGAAACAGCTCTCTTGCATGTATAGGTTATATTCGGAGTTATCCCGTCATTAATTATAAGAAATAATTTATATACAATGTGGAACCATACCTTATACAAGGTGAATACAAATTGCATCCCACAACACACTGTAAGAACAATAAGCCAAACTAAGTAAAAACTCCTCGTCTTAAATGCTAGTTTTATTGCCTCTTTCATGTTCAGCTCCACCTGAAATCTTCGTCAGAAAATATTTCATGATCAATACAACGATAAAACTCAAATACCAAAGATTTTCAAACCAAATAGCATACACGGGAATCATAAAATACCAACAAAGATTTCTATGTTGTAGTGAAAACAACATTAACATGTAGTCTAAAATAATTCCTTAGAGAGATAAAAGTAAAAATAATATTTTTCAGCAAGTTCTTATTTAAAAATTGAGATAACTCTTAGAAAAAAATCTTGAGTTATTTACCGTCTCAGCAATGATACTGAACATGAATATGAAGTTTGATGGAAATCCCTTAAGAAATAAATAAGTCAAAGGAAAATAAATAGAAATAGACTACCGAAATTTTCAAATCAGAGTGTAGTGAATTAATGGTTGCTAGATTTAAGAACCTCATCAGGTGTTAAGGATCACGTATTTAAAGGATGTTAAAAAGGGAGAAAATGTTGAAAATATGGAACCTTGTCATATATGAATCGGCTGATGATAAAGAATAGCTATTTGAAGTTTGAAGCAAATCCCAATAGTAAAAAATAAATAGTTTACTAAATGCAATCTGTACAAGGATACGAACTCCGACGCCGAGATAAGTAATTCATCTCTCCATATACTTTGTATAAGTCGAGTTATAAATTTTTTGGAAGAAATAGAGGCTATTGAAGTTTTTTTCTATAAATAAATACATGATTTAATTTTATCGAGTGGTATGAAAATATGATAATTTTCATATTACAAGATGAAAATAAATCATGTACATGTATTTATAAATACAAAATACTTGGAATTTTCTGTTTATTATATATTTAACTCTTTTTAGACATTGCAATTTGAAAGACTTCCACTTAATTTGTGAGTATTGGCTGACTTTAGAAGAATCAGGGTCTTTCAATTTGAAAGACCCTGGAAGAATGTCGCCCGGCAAGACACCAGTGAAAATACAGAAAATATTTCACTGCGGTGAAAAATAAATTTTTACAGTGAAAATACATAAACTGATAATACGTAGTTTATTTCATCAATATTTCTCAATATTTCATTTGTAAATATATAATAAAAAGCAAACAAAAATCCCCGAAAGGATTGAATTCAGCTCTTTCCCAAGTAGTTAGCGTTTTTCTTCTTCTTAATTCTTTAGTTCAATAGACTGCATTTTAAAAGGCTTACTTACTGTGATGATTCCGGTTTCCCCGGCTTTTCACTGACATGTTGAGTAGTTCCATTGAAAACTTTTTCACTGACGGTTAGAATGTTTCCATTGTTACTGCTTATACTTCCATTGTTTTTTGTTGTCTGCAAATCTTCATCTTGTAGAATGTTCACCTGTCAAATTATATGTTATCAATCAATTTCATTATTCGTGATGCCTACGGAATGCAGTTAGAGCCATTTTTAAGTTCAACCTGTCGCGTTTGGGTGTCGACACTGGCACTTAACATAGACAAATAAAGAACGCCAAGAACGTCAAAATCGAAACTGTTGCAGGCTTAGTTTGACTGAGCCGTCTCATAGACGGTACTGGAAAGTGCAATCTAACATCAAGTGCCTCTTAACACTAGCTTGTAAACGCAGAATTTAATGTTTTAGATGAAATGGTGAATTTTGAACTTGAAAACATCCTAGATGTGTTCATACGGCAGTTATCGTGGAACCTTTAATGTGACTTGTTATTGGCATTCCGTGAAAAAAGCGGATTCGGATCCCCAAATTAATGGGCGAAACTAAATAGAATGAAAGTTCGAATATGCATCAGACCTGATGTAGTCTGTATATCACAGACAAGCTGTCAAATAGCAGGCAACTTGTCCTAAATTGATTTTACAGTACTCAAGAAGGAATATTGTATAAATCATCCAACTAAAAGAAAACCCAAATAGAAGAAACAAAAATACTACAAACACAACAATAATGTCGTGCTGAACGATCTTCAAGGATCAGAAATATAACATCTATGATCGAATGTACGAGGCGACTTTTCACACGACGCTTGATATGTCTCCTAGCAATAAGCCGCCACTCTTGATACATAACAATACGGTACTTGATATTAATTGTTGGTGTCGTGATCTAGGGTTTGTAAAAACTTACCACTTTCAGTTTTGCAAACAGAGACATTTATCTGATTTGTTTCAATTGTATTACAAAATCTTTTAAAGCTACGTCTTTATTGTTTTTCATTGCTTTTAACATAATTTGACAATTACTAAAATAAAACGAGTAAGGATATTTTTTTAACTTTATACCATTACTAATTAAGCTCTATGGTACCTATTACAATTTTACCTCGTTGGTTTTGACTGGAGGTTGTACTAAACAAGCCACGCCCAGAATAATCATTGCGAGATAAGACCCGCCTAGAATGAGAAACATAGTCGGTACTCTGTCAAGTAATTCTGCATCAGTAAAATATCTGAAAAAAAATGAAGAAAGTATAAATATATTTATACCAAACATAATAACTAGGCCAAGATATTATACCTATATCCATAGTACTTTGATTAATTTCTTTCATATCAGTTTTTACTTGTTCTGGGTACATGTAACAAATGTATTCAAAGTAAACATAGACAAAATATATTCTTCTTTCTTTATATTTTTGCAGCTAAAACAGCCCTCCGAAGTGTTGTTTCATACACTGTAAACGAAACACAAACATTGGATATACTAATGAAATGAACGAAGGGTTTATGCTTAGAAATTTCAGCCTAAAACCTCATGTCTACTACATTGAAGTACTCGTACATGTAATATTTAGTCTTGAAGTACTGACTACTGAGCATCACAATATAATTTTAAACTTGTCCCTTATACACACACGCCAATTGCTTGTAATTTGTATTGTCCTAGTCTAGATCAATTACGAATATATAACATATCATATATCACCTTTCTCCCTCATCGGTTATGAGATCCGGGGAAAGATTGTCCGGATTGATGTAGGCGGTGATAACTTGGTTAAATATTATAGCTCCTCCTCCAAAACCTGCTACTATCAGACCTGCAGACAGTGCGGGATTACGTGGTAGCCACTGCAGAGAAAAGAAATAAATCGTTGAATGTTACGTGCGTTCAGGCGGTTTTTCACTGCGTAGAATTTGGAGGTGAAGAGTTTTACGATTAGTTATTTAGTTTTATACTCGTAAATTCCAAAAAGGTAAATTTTCCGTGCATTAAAAAAAGGTAAGAACGGGAACCTGAGTAGAACAATCGACGTTCCGTAAGTTATCTGGTAGCTTCCTTACATGAAAGAACCTAAAGTCCTGGTCGGGATTTGAACCCACAGCCGTGAGGGGCAAGTGGTTTGAAGTAAACTACTTTAACCTCTCGGCCACAGACGCCCAAAAGTTATGTAATGTAATATAAGATTACATGATATGGTACGTCAGTACACATATTGGCCTTTTCTATTATTTATTCAAAATATTTTGCCACGTTTAACTTGTGACGTTAAAATGAATTTAATGTGGTACATCTCATTGCACTATATATACAGAAAGTCCTATTTCATTCACAATATTCTTGACAAAGTATATCCAAGGAATTTTACATTTGTTGTTAGTTTGTAGTGCAAAAGTAGTGTTGTACACTATTTCACATAAATTGTCATTTATCTTTTAAAGACAAAAGTTCCGACCAAAAGCAAAGTAATCTTGAATAATTTGAATAGAGATAGGGTTAACACCTCATTCACCATAAATCGTACAGTTATGTGTTAATTATTTTATACCTTAATGTATTATCATATTACCTAAGTATTATGTTTATTATAATACTTATATCAACGTTTTCGAAGCCCCATACTTCACAAGTATACATTAAGATAGGAGCACGTTTTAAATATAACAAATACAGTTGGAAATAAATAGACAGAAATTAGAATAACTGCAAACATAGCTTTTATCGCTTGCTCAACAAATTTGGACTTGGGCTTTAAAAATGTCATTATTAGTAAAAAGAATGCCAATTGCCAACTACATGTATTTATTTAAAACATTTTGGCTCAGTTGAAATTGCATTTTCTCTAGCATAGAGTATATTTATGTAGAAATCACTAGATGAAATAAATCACTGACGTAACATTTGTCAAATCTAGGTATTTTGTAAATAAAGCCATTGCGCAACACATGTGTCCTTTTTTGCCCTGTCAGGGGAAAGAGGGAAGAATACAACAGCAACAACAAATGTCATGAAATATATAAATATTAGCATTTTAAAATAATGCTAGGAATCGACGTTCAGCTGGGTATTCGAAAAATATGTTTTCTTGGAATAGACGCCTCCCTGAACAATAGAGCTAATGTTTCTTCTTTAAAGAAAAATATTCCGAATATTGCTTACATCGCAGGGGCCTACACACTGATTTCGAGCGACAATGAAAGACATTTTAAGGTAAATGGACCACCATGACGAGATTTAAAAAAACACCAGAACAATACCCTGATGGCGTTTTGTATAGGTGGTCCATACGCCATAAAATTTCCTATGTTGCTCGTGACACCAAACACTAAAACCATGGCAACAAATGATTGCTGTACACAAAAATAACAGGCCATCATTGACGCACTGCAAAGAAAAATGTGGAATATTAGCATGTACATTAAATAACGATGTTACATTCAATATAAGGCAATTACATAATATTCAGGATATTTATACTTTTGTGTGTACCTAACACATCATGTAATAATCAACAAGAAACTAAGGCATTCGCGTTAGGTAAGGTAAGGTTAATTACAGCTATGTCGTTAAGATATATTGTGATTTGGAGAAACACGTGTTGCTGTTATCATGGGGCTGATAACCTAAATGTGTCAAAGTAATTATTGAAATTCTAAACAATTTCCCATGATTGTTGATTCAAATTAATGCACTTCAATGTTCAAACAACGCCAATGGTCTAGAAGTTTTAACCAGAGTATAAGTTTCATGACACAGTTGACAGACATTATAGTTATCGAGATGTACATTCATATTACAATTGTTTCGTAAGGAAACAAAATTCTTTAATGTCTGAAGTATTACAAAAATTAGGACCATAAGAATGCGTCCTGTTGATATTTAGACACATAATTTGCTATGTTAAATGGACCCAACTGAAGGTTTTTAACATGACTGGTCTGGTAATGTGTTTTTGTGTTCCATTTGACGAAGGTCTCGATGAATGAATTGTGTGCAAAAGTTCGCTTTTTTGTGAGGAGGGTGGGGGTGGCGGTTTCAGAATAATCACCCTAACTGCGTAAAATAAATCAAAAATGAAAAATTATCGCTTTTCACTCAAATCAGACATGGAATCGCACAACATATCTTATTTTTATTCAATCACGAGAGCATTTCGTTCTTTATCATATTTTGTGCACTTTTTCCGTTTTAAGTCCTTAAGTTTATCTATATGTTAAAATTTCAAATTGCATACATGTATTTTAGTTTTAGGCTTTTGGAACTTAGTGGAGCACGTTTAAAGCAATGTTACGTTTAATTTGGGTTATTCCAAATCAATATGCAATTATTTTTACAACAGGAACCGAAACCTCTTTTTGAGGACCGAAACAAGGAGAACTTTTGACCTGCCGACCCTGGAATTAACACATGAGTACATCATCTTCCCCGGTACCACCTTTAAACCCCGCACCACAACATGCACACGAGCCGAGCATCACCAGATATAAAAAAACGCCTAGCTGAGCGATTTGAATCGTCCATTCCTTCAAATCTCCTTTAACCCCTGTAATTACTTACTTTAATGGCCGGTTACTTAATTTATAAAGTATCAAGGTTAATCCATTCACATACTCTTTCTTTTAGAATGAATTATAAATATAGTAATTAACCCTTATGGAATGACATGACTGTAACAGTCATATTTTGAAGAAGTTGCCTACCTATTCAGATACAGTGTCTTTATATCAAAATAGTATATGCATTGATAAAGAAAATAAATACAATGTAATTCCATTACATTAAAAATACATTTTTTTTACTTAAATTGCAAAAATAGATTTTAACTTTATTTATGTCAGGTAACAACTACTGCTTTTAAATGTGACTTAATTAACTACGAGTCGGCTATACTGTAAAGAGGAATTGACAGCCAAGTGGAATAAAATATACCTGAAAATAAATCCACCTAGTGATGTTGCGAAACGAGGACCGAGTCTATTGGTTAGCAGACCACCAATCGGAAACCCGATACAGTTCCCTAGTGAACCAACGGAAGTCATCCAAAGCCCGTCAATATTTCTGATAGTTGTATCTTCAGTCCGGTTACGTATATAGGATATAAAATAGGGTGCAAAATTACCTGAAAAGTTTTAAAATATTTTCATTTCTGATCAAATGACATCTTTCACAACATACTATCTCGTGCGCTCGAGATAAATAAAAACACACACATGCCACCTCTGTGCAACCGTACAAGGGACTTTCTCTGAGTTACATGAGCGGATTGGAAACATGTATTCAACATTATGAATTCTGTGCAAATTTCAAATTATTCGCTCACTCCGTTTTTTCCCCAGAATTATCATTTTTATTATGCGAAATAACCTAGAAATGTAAAGCGTTTAAACGCTCTTAACATAAATTAGTTGTTAAGAATCGCATTCAATATGGATTTTCAATTAATTGGTTGAGTAAACATTGTATTTCTTTATTATCTTTTGCATATTATGCCCAAGTTGATCTATTTAATATTTTCAAATAATATGTTTTTAGGGTTTTGGATCTCACTGGAGCTTCTTTAAATATTCAAGTTTAAAAATTGTTTCAATGTGTCAATATCCTTGTCATGTAAACAAATAAAGTGATTATAATTGCTAACTATCCAGATACATTATACATAAAAAATGAAGAGATAGTCCCTCAGTCGTTAATAACGGAGAAAAATATTTTTAAACATTAAACGTATGTTGATAAATGCAAAAAATGGCGTGGAATCTGCCAAAATTTTTTTATATTGTTTTTTTTTTATGTTATAAAGAACTATATAAACGTCACGATTATCCAATGAAAATTGACGCTAAAAACGTGCATAGCCTTATAAATGCATTTTTCTAAAGTCATCGTTTTGAGGAGGGTTTGTTTATGTTGCAAATATAGTATCAGAGAATAGGCAGAGAAATAACAAACGTGTACCATTAGTAGAGCAATTAGATATTTTATGGGTGTACATAGATTTGCTCCGATACTAGCAATTACTGGTGATATGGGGTGGATTTGTGCTCAGCATAGACGTTGGGTTAATATACTGAGACTATGGAATAGACTTGTACATATGGATGATGATAGACTCACAAAGAAAGTGTTTTTGTATGATTATACTACTGTTGGAAATACATGGTGTTCAGATGTTAAGCATATTCTGCAACAAGTAAATATGTCATATTTGTATGACAACAAACTTCCAGTTGATTTAAAGAATATTGAAGACTCTCTACTTTTACTATACAAATCAAATTGGTCTGACAATGTTACAAATGTGGCAAAGCTGAGAACATATGTTACATTAAAACAAGATTATGAAACAGAAAAATATCTCATGTCTTCCTTAACTAAAGCAGAAAGATCCCATTTAGCTCAATTAAGATGCGGTATTCTTCCGCTCAAACTAGAAACAGGGATACGTGGGATTACGTGTTGATGAAAGAATATGCACTCTTTGTACTGACAATGTTGTTGAGGATGAAACTCACTTTATATTGAAATGCTCTAGATACAACGATTTACGTGCTAATTTGATTTCTAAATGTAAAGAGAGTAACAGTGACTTTGACAATATGTCTGATATTCAAAAACTAAGTTATGTGATACAAAATCAATATGTTAACGCTGCAAAGTTTATTGTAGAAAGTATGAAAAGAAGAAGGTTATATCTTTATAAATGACCTGATGTTTTACATAATAAAAATTTACTTGAGTGTATTGAATCATGTTAAAATATCACCAGACATATTTGAAAATAACAAGAAATATAATAACATCTTAACATTGTTTAGAATTTATAGCTTTTGAAATTTTGATATGCTTTGCTTGTCTATATGGAATTTTGATGATTGACCACTGTATTTCCGATTATTTTTTCTATGCTTTACATATTTTATTGTAAATCATTTATATGAATTGTATATAGTTTAAAGTGACTTATAGGCCCAACGTGGCCGGGTGTTGTAATTTGTTATATGTATGTTTATTATATTGTACATAACACAATGTCACTATAATAAAATTTACTTACTTACTTACTTACTTACTTAGTAGGCGTTTCGCTTAGTTTTTTCAAGGCTGTGCATATATTTTGACGTGACTACATTGGCGTTATGCAAACATAGTGTAAAGACGCGCTAAATGTTAGCGTTATACAATAGGCACGTTAAAATAATAATAATAATAATAATTATAATAATAATAATAATAATATCTTTATTTAAAGAAGGTTACACATTAAGAACATACAAAAGCAATCATATATATCTTATTTCCAATGTGGCCTTCTGAAATAGATAACAACAACAACAACAATAGGACATTTCACGTTAGTGAAAACTGAGTCTTTTGCACTTCAAACAGTCTTCATTTTGAGATAAATAGAATATCACATACACCATCGCATAATATGATTTTATTCAACTCGTTTAATAAATTCAGTATTTGACCTACAATCATTCTATATTCTTTAATACCCATCAATAAACCAAATGACGTGTACGCTCAAGTGTAGTTCAACATATCTTTATCAATTCCATTTCTTATTGAAATAGATATTAATTTTTGATACGTTACTGTAGAGTAAACAGAATGGTTTTATTATGGAATACTTAATCACTTATAAAATTAGAAATGTTTCTATGCGGCAATATTTTGGTGGCACAAAATTTCCGCAAGCATAGCGGGAAAGGTACAAGAGCTATCATGGAAGAATATGTACCACTGGAATCGGAAAATAATTGCCTGGAACATGGGTTTTGTTTCTTATTCCAACAAAAATACCTAATGTTACCGTTAACAAATGCCAGAGGATTACCAAACCTGGGTACAGTAATGCACGGTTTATCGTTCAAATGTAATTAATCACTTAACTGTGTGTGTGAGGGATAACCATACTGCGCATTTGAACTCGAACCGTGCATTATCTACACAACGCATTCAAAACTGAGATGAATAAAAAAGTATTTAATTATATAACAAATTGTTCTTAGCTATACATGTATATACATATGTAATATCGGATTATGTAGCTCACACTTACCAACAACACAAATATATAATTCTTTCGTGATTTGTTTCACGTTTGATACTAGATATCATCATGGTATAACAGGCCTCCTATTATGAAGCAATTTACTCTAGAATATAGATAGATAGGTGTCTCACTCTCAACCCAGGGATCGTGTATTCGAGTCCTACTTGGGGGCGCGACCATGTTTCCTCATTAGACACCAATATCGGTTAGGTCCAGGAAGCGGACCGGAAAATTATTAATATAAGCTGATAAAAACTTGTTTCATAATCAAGCTGAACTATAAGTATAAATAAACACTTACCGAACGTAAAGAATGATCCGAGAGCCAAATGAACCAAAAATCCCCCGAAAACAGCTAAACAAACTCTAAAATTAATTCCTTTCTTAAACATATTGATCAACAGCTGCAATGTCCTCAAAAAGTTTCTTAACAAATTTCACCAATTAATTTTTTCCATTTCTAATTGTCTTCCAGTAAATTTTGAAGAAACAAGACTAATATGCTTGAAAAACGATAATTTCTTCTAATAATCATACAGTTTAGAAATATATAATATTCTAGTAGCAGTAATGTTGGATGCATTTATAAGTCACTTTGGAATTAAGAAAGTGCTACTTTGATTTAATATTCCATAACGCAAAGATAACAATATTTGTTAAGTTAAACTAGTCGGATGCATGTTTGGGGATGATGTCTGGCACTTAATCTTCTAGTGGTGGCTGTATATATGAATTATATGTTATCTTTGAATAACCTTACTTAATGTATACATATATCCTAATCATATAGATTCTCTGGTATGAGAAGGACCTTCATCTGAACTCGTTAAATTATTTATTTCATTTTAACTTTGTATGGAGATAAAGACATCTTGTTGGTGTCTTGTACATATGAGTGCTAACATTATTTTTTTTACATTAATTGTTTTTGAATTACAGATGGCTTGAATTAAGTTCTATGCACTATATTAAGTTATCAGGCAGCCCTTTGAAGTGGCGGAGATAGCAGGGAGTTGTTACAACATTAAGGTTTTAAAGGCATTTAAAGTAATTTGCGTGTCAGTAGCTGACATTATTTTCTGTTTTCAATATATGAAAACACTTTCAATGTATCATATTAATTTAAATAAGGCTAATTCCGTCTCGCCGGATTCATTGTATATAAATTTTTCTCTGGAATGATCAAACTTTACACTATTATAGAACTCCGACGCAGTGACCTCCGCCCCCACACCCCCGATCCTCTTCGCTTATGCGTAGCCAATCAAATCAATGTGAGGAGGTCGATAGCAAGCTTCTACCAGTGGTCTACAGCCTAACTTTATCATTTCTCATAAATTTAAGTTCTTACGCACACAATTTATCTGCGTTTGATTATACATATATGTGTATCGTTGATTATTCAAATACATGTTTTCTCAAAGCTCTTATTCCATTTTTTAATATATATATATTTATTCTTAAATAAATATGAAAATACATTCATATAATGAAAAACTCAAAAAATAATACATTTTTGGATTACGTAAACCAGAATTGATTTTAAAGGATATGAATAATCATTGAAGCACAATTTTGAACTCATTCTCAAAACAGCTAATCAAGCTAGTCAAATCTACCGGCGAATGCGTTACTCAGCAAGAAATTTATAAAACTTTTCTGGAAAAATCGTGATTTAAAGTAAGAGATGAGGATGAATATAACATCTGCGGGTAAGGTTTAGAGTAATAAACATTTGAATTTATTATGTATTCTTCAAAATGAAAGATTACGTTTGTTATTTTAGAAAATTTACATTTTATAATCACTCCACCCGTAAAAAAGAAAACTTGATTTTTGATTTGTAAATCTTAAAACAAAGAAGTTAGGGTCCTTTTGAAACTGGTCATAAAATGAATAAGGTTTCTGATGATAGAATACAATAGAATAACTTTTATTTCCAATCAAGGGTAATGTTAAATGACATGTGAATCACAATAATAATAATGAGATCAAAGATCAAATAAAGACGTTAAAGAAACTAAAACTTGATTTGTATTATAGTAACAACAATAAACTTAAAGAAAAAAACAAAACAAACTTACACAGCAAATGACAGGGTTTCGCGAACTATAATTAAACATCATAACTACATATAGATCTATATATATGAATTGAAAATTACATTATGTTTTTATTCTTCGAATAACATTTAATTTACACAAACAGATAGCGTATACCTGTTTTGTAACAAAACTGTACAACACACATGTCTCTCTCAAAAAAAAAAAATATATATATATATATACCAAGTTAAATTAATTTATGTTTTCTATTCTATTCTCATAGCTTTGTTTATTGAAACAATCAATAAAATAACTGGAGCTGCAGATTATAGTATTAAACTAAGAATGCCAAATTTTCTCATTAAATTAACAGACTTCCCGAAAGTTGAAAAAAAGTGTCAGACATTCGGTCTGACAAGCCATGAAAATCTGTCGGACCGAAATGAAATCTGTCAGACCGAATAAAATTAATCAAAATCATGAAAACTTGTGTTTGTATTTCTAAGACACTTTTCGGTTTTAATTTTTTCGCTGTAAAAATCGGCACAGTCCGTACAGCTCATTTTCATCTCCTTCCTGTCATACACCAACGATTCACGGACCTGCTTCCATTTTCATTAAATATTGTCTCAGATCTATTCTTTTCATCCCAGTGGTTTTTCTCTACTTTGGGAATGGTGCCGGTACCAAACTGATTGGGAAAAATGCGTTATTTTGACTTAAATTGGGAATTTTTTAAGCATTTTTTTCAGCTATAAATAAGATTAGTCATCATGAATATAGATAGCTAACAGCTTCCACTGTCCAGGGTGAACTATTGAGTGGTGATTTATATGAATATGTTGGATTTAAATAATTTCAGAGAAATCACTTGGCCTTGTGGTTATTTTTAAAAGCCATTTTGGGAATTTAAACATAGGAAATTTTAATGTCTATTTTCTATTGGGAACATTACCGTTTTAGGGTAGTAGTTATATAAAGAAAAAAAACACTGCATCCCTTTACTGCTGTTCTCCGCGTTTCTCTGACATAGATTTTTGTTTTTTCCCCATTTGGCAACTTTAGCGGCGCCATTTTGTATACATGCGACTTGGATAAAAGCTTGACAGTCAGACCGATCCGGAATAAGAAATCGTCGGACCTAATCAAAATTTATCGGACTTGTCCGTCGGACAGAGGTATTTCTGGAAGTCTGAATTTAAAAAAACAGTAAAATTTAGCGGATTTTTTTTTTAATGTCTAGACAATCGGTGTTCGACACTTACACAGTGTATATGGCTGCTTTTCCTTAAGTCGTGGTTTTCCTTGAGTCGTGGGTGGGTTAAAATCGTAAATGACTTTTTGTATGGTTGAAAATGTATTTTGGAAGGTAATATTTCTTATAATTTGATGTTAAAAAGTTGTAAATATTGTAATAGTTAAATCATTTTCGGGTAATTTCCCTGCTTGTTCCTGTGACATCATCATACATCACTGGTCTATTTTTAGAAATGCCCACGACTCTTGGTAAATAAAGCATACAGCAAAAACTGGCAAGGGATTGCTTAACTTAAAAGTCAGGAGTTCCATTGAATGAAATGGATTGTTGCATGACATAAAATTTGTTAATTCAGACCATAACCTTTCAATACTTCTTCAACAATAAACTGCTCAGAGCATAGATATTTGGCATGTAGCATCACCTTTTGGTCCCAGGGATTTACCACACGCAGGATCCTGTGTCATATACCCATGAAATGGCTTTAATGCCATCCTTCACAAAAAATAAATTCAGCTTACACATGGATGCAGAAAAATTGTCTAACGTAACTGTCATTTCCATATTTTAAGATAAATTCTTAGAGAAATTGTTTAGAGTAACTCTGGTTTCCATATGTTTAGATATCTAAAATGTTTTCGTCACCGGTGAAGGTCCTGGGAATCACCAATGGGTATTTATAGTAACTTGTCAGTTTATTGGCTAGTTACTGTCCGCATTTAAAATACCAACCAATCATTAGTGAGCACTCATGTATCCCAGATATTATTGTCAGGAATGCTTTATTTGGAGTGCTCAGTTGTTACCGTTATCTATGAAAGTAATTTTTTTTTTTTTTTTTTTTTTTTTTTTTTTCAGGCCCCAACTGGGTAACCCCATTTATTTCAAATTCCTTTTAACATTTATACATATAATAGTACATATTTATAGATATAATAGTACCTCATACATCAGAATATTAAAATAATTACTAAATTTTGAGTATAAAGCTATATTTTTGCTGCCTGTTATTGAAAAAAAAAAAAATATATATATATAATATGTATATATATATGAAGAGGTATAAGTTACCATGAATTTTTGTCAATATACCATACAGATGTGTATGTAGATGGGAGGAAATCGGGTATAATTTTTATACATTTTAATAAAGATATTTCAACACACATAGCTTATACCCTTCGAGTAAGTACAGATTATAATAAAAAACCATATGTACAATGTAAGAACATTAATTAAGAAATGGTATTATCAGGTTAAATTTATTTATCTAATTCAGTATGTCAGTGTAGTTTATTTCAATTTAAAGATCTTACAATTGCCCATCTATTATTTTCATCTTCTGTCAAGTTTGTATCTTATAAATATTCCTGCTAATTTAAGAGCTATTTTTAAAACCAATACTGTGGGTGCGACCTTTTTCTCTTTGACAAATAATATATCTTTTTAGTTAAAAAAACAAAATGTCATATTTTAAAATCTTTAGATCTGAACCTAAAATAACTATTTACAGTTGAAAATTCTTCAAAATTATTTAAGTTAATCTTTCAGATATTGAAAAGGCCTTGAGGAGCTTGTGACATTCCCCAAAACAAATGCAAAAGTGTTTCTTCATAACAATTACAAAAAAGTACACATTGTTATTGTTCAATTTTTCATTTTAAACAGAAGTGAATTTTTAGCAATAATTCTATGAATAATTCTTGTTTGGAACCATGAATGTATGAATCTTTTGTACGCAATTGGAAAACATAACTATAAATTAAATGCCAGTTAATGTGATCCCTATAAAGCATGTGTTCACTTTCTTGACTTTTCGGTGAAATCTGAATCTTAACTAAAAGTTTCAATATACAATTTGTTTATTACTATTTCATGAACAAAATAAGGTTTTATATAACAACTTATAATGGGTATGAACATTAAACAAGTTATTACAAATCATCATATTTAGCCGTTTATATAAAATTTAATTGCCTGTTTTTAAAACTTGATATTGTAAAAAAATTCACTTGTTTACTGTTACCTGTTCTAAATAATTCAAATCTACAAAATTACCCTGTTCATTAATAATATCTTTCACAAATCTGATGCCTTTATCATACAATATCTGAATCGAAAATATATCTGTTCCAGATAAAAAATTATGATTGTAAAAAAGTGGCATATTAAACTTTTGCTCTAATATTATCTATAGAAGATTTTTAATAAACATCATATAAGCCTTTAAAACATCAATCCAGAAAGCTTTTTAACTTACTGATAATTACTTTACAAAACATTTTTTACCTGTGTTAAACAACTTTACCAATAATCAAACAATGTATTCACTAGCTTTATAAATTTACTGCTGCTATTACTAACACACCTTCTAAACATTTTTTTACTTTAAACTATGAACATAACTTTAATGGCAGTCATATTTAAACCACCTTCTTGTAGTGTTTTAGTAATTACTGATTGTTTATTTTGCCTTAGCCCCTCCCATATAAATCATAAAATAAGTCATTCAATTCTTCAAATAAACAGTACTAGGTGTTTGGTAAACTTGTAAAACAATGGTAAATAATGGAAGCAATATTGATTTAACAACAGTAAATTTTCTCAATTGGATTAACATTCTCTTTTCCAGTGGCTAATACATATTTTTTACTTTCTGTAGTTTTTCGATTAAAGTTTAAAAGTTAATCATTTTTTCTAATCAACATCGAATACGTAAACCCTAACAATTAAACTGTGTATCACCTCCATGTACAGTTTTCCAATCTTGTGCTTAATTGATCTAGTACTATATTTTAAAGAGCATCCAGATAACTTTGGTTTTGTCAAAATTTATTTTAAATCCGGAAATCTTGAAAATGTATTTAACAAGTTTAAAGAAGCATTTGGGATTTTTCTGAACCATCTAATAAAAGTGATTGTATCATCTGCAAATTGTGAAATTTTTATATTCCTCCACCGTCTTATTGTAATACCTTTAATATCTTTACTTTGCCTAATTTTTATAGCTGAAATTTCTTGCACATAAAATGAAGATATATGGGGAAAATTGGTCGCCTGTTCTACAGCCTCGTTCACTTTAAAAAAAATTAGATAAAAACCCATTTAAAAATAAACACAAGTTTCAGTATTATATAGAAACAAAGATATCCATTTTTAAGCATAGCCCCAAAATGAAAAGATGAAAGACATTTCTCAATAATGTAAAAGAAAAAGTATCAAATGCTTTTTTCCAAATCTATCATCATTGCTAAACCCTGGTATATTATTATCTTCTGTAAATTTCATTATGTCATATAAAATCTAGGTATTTTCTCCTATATATCTATTCTTTATAAATCTGTCTGATCCTTTGAAAACTAAAATATCTGAACACCTTTTAATCTATTTGCTATACTACCTGATGCTTAATTTGGTAGACTACATTTAATAAAGTTATTGGTCTCCAATTTTTCAAAAAATGTTTCTTGTTGTTTTCTTTGGAATACATGTTATTATACCAAGTTTTTTGATTTCTACCAAAAGTATTATTTCTGTAAGCAAAATTTATAGCTATAACATCAAAATGATCAATTCTATTCCAAAAGGTTTTAAAGAAGTTAGCCGTAAATCCATCGCAACCTGGGCTTTTATCATTCTTCATATTTTTCAATGTAAAAGAAAACTTCATCATATGTAAGAACACCTTCTAGTTTTTAACATTTCATCATGAGTCAGAGTAAGTATATCACAATTTCCTAATTTCTCTATCAATAACAGATTCATCAGTCAAGTTCACTTTTTTATATAGATTTTATTATAAACAACAAGTAGTGTGAGTATAATCTTTTTGATCATAAATAAATGTTCCGTTATCCATTTCTAAAAAAGGAATATTTTTTTCAGCACAGTATTTTTTTCTAAATTCAAAAAAAAAAGAAAGGTTTTTCCCCAGATTCAATCCATTGTGACCTTGACCTAATCATAGAACCTTTTATTTATTATGTCTTATCTGATTTAATTCATTTTGTAAATGTAAGAGTCTGTCTTATTATCAAATTGTCAAATTTTGTTCTATGAGTGATATTTCCTCCATTATTTGTTTTTCATAATTATTTTTCTCTTAAACCTTATAGGAGCTATATGAAATATTTTTTACCTCTTATTTCCATCAAAAAGTGTTTCTAAAAATAGTTCATCAATTGATTGTAAAAGTTAATGTCTTTATTTTTTGTATCTATTATATAGTCTATATTATAAACTGGTATACAATATGAAGTTTATTTCATCAATTTTTCATTTATAATTTTTAAAAATATTCAATATCATGTAATAAAGCATTGTTAATTTCCACAAACCTTTACCATGACAAATATGAGAAAAACAAATATCTAAAAAATATTATTGAATGATCTGATTTTATAACTCACATCAATATCACATTTTTACATACTGATACAAATCATTTGATAAAAGAAAAAAAATCTAATCTCCCCTGTTGTATAGGATTTGTACGCCTCCATGTAAATTTTTTAATTTCGCCATGTAATTCTCTAAAAGGGTCAATAAGATCTTTATCTTTAATAATATCCAATAAAAAAATTTCTGGCTTTTATATTATTAGTTTTTTGGATTTTATAATTATGATAATCTAGATCTGGGTCTTGAACCAGGTTATAATCTCCACAAATTATAAGGGAATTATTGTCATCAAGTGAGTCTACAGTATCAAAAATACTTTTAAAAAAAAGCTTGGACTATCTGTATTTGGAGCATATATATTAACTAACGTTAAGTATCTAGTTTCAAAAAAGCATTTTCCTGTAAAATAATGAAACATCCAAAATTGTCAGTGTTAATTGACTTGATTTTGATATTTAAATTTTTTTTCTGAATAAAACTGCACACCCTTAAGCATTAGATTTTCCATGGCTAAAAAAACATAAACCATTCCATTCAGAGTAGACTTTTTTTTCAATATCTTTTACAAAATGCGTTTCTTGTAGACAAAGTATATCAGCTTTTTTTGTATTGAATAAATTGAAAACATCACGCCTCTTTATGCTATCATTCAAACCACGACACCAGATATTATTGTCAGGAATGCTTTATTTGGAGTGCTCAGTTGTTACCGTTATCTATGAAAGTATTTTCGGTTTAAACAATGGCTTAAGAAGTTTTTGGGGTGGGGGTGGTTCAAAACTAAAAAGGAGACACCCATGAGCCTGTCTGGTCAACTGGTCAACTGTAACTGAAACAAGTACATCATCCTAGCAGTCCACAAAACCGAAACGTGACAGAATAGTCCCGTCTATCATGTAAGATAGATACAAATGGTAAGAGCTATGGGACGAACGAATATTTCTAGTCAAAATACTAAAAAGTTGCTTTTTGTTTTTGTTTGAGAAATTAATCTAAATCAATACACTTATACAGTCATTTATATTGCAATCTTACTATACTTCTTCTATGAGCAAAGTCAGTGGACCCCCAAAATTTTGTGATGGACCCCCGTTTTTAATGATAACCTCTGTCCAAGGGACCCCTTATATAAAAAGGTTTGGTAAATCCCTGGGTCCATATAAGTCATGCTTCTGGAGTACAAATGTTTTTTTTCTTAATTATTTCCCTTTTGAACTCAGAGTTTGCTAAGAACTTTTGCAGCAGAAACCTGGAGCATGCTGTCTGCAAACAGGTCAAGTTTTGTATTTTATTTCACCGCATATAATTCAAATCTTACCAGGGACATTAGATTCTTAAATTTGTGAAAGCTATACAGCTAGCTTACTGGTTTTACTCTAGTGCCTGTTTGTGCCAGAAATAATGCATGAAGGGGCACTCAAAGTCTTCCTTCACCAGTTAAGTTGGAAAGTCGCCATATGAACAGTTAACATTCTTATTTTATACTGTAGTGGTTATTGCCCTATTATTTAAACCAAAAATTAATTTGTGGCAAAGCTAGACTAAAAGTGATGTCTTGCATCATTTTTAAGTCAATCAAAGTAGCTTTAAATTAAGTTTTTGTTGCAAAGTAAAATTGCCAGCAAATTAATTCAAAACTGTAAAATAGCATACAGGAAATATATACATTGTATTAGAAAAACATTAAATAAATAAATGTGTGTATACATACATAGAGCCATGTGAGAAAATCAGAAGTTGTTTTCCTGTGTAGATAAACAGGTGACTTTTGTGTGAAGTTATCCATAATGTTTGGTTTACTTTGATTTCAAACACAGATACCACTGCTTTATAATTGCATACATATGAACGAAGCTATCCGATTATGTGGTTCCCAAACTTAAAAGCGCTGCGCATTTTGCACACGGCAAAGCTGGGGCCACATAATCGGAAAGCTTCGTTCATAGCCGTCTGGTCCATTGAATTTATCGAAAGATTTTGTCGTTGAAAAAAAAACGGCGATAATATTGATGTTTATTTCGGCTGTTGCGTTGTTTATATTACCGTTGAAGTTTAAAATTGACCATCATCGTGAAGAATTATATCTTCTGTGTCGATGGACCAAAGGATTATGTGAAAATATTGGAAATGAAATAAAATACATGGTGATTATGACGGTAGGGGTGCGGATTTTTTCCGGCGAACATTTTTATCTTGTGTATTATTATAGATGTTGAAATATGATTTTTTTTCAAAACGGCTTATATTAAGTTTTTTTGATATATATGATCAGTACATGTGCTGGGATTGACAAATATGCATTTTATTTGGATTTTAAAGGCGTTTTGAGCTCCAAACCCCAAGTGTCTGTGTCTTAACATATCAACTAGCCTGAGGTGAAATTCTATCTTTTTATGACATTTTATTTAAAAAACACTCAAACTACAATGTGTTGGATAGTAGCTTTAAGACTCAGTGGTTACGTTCGATTTCTCTGATGATATTGATTAAAACTGATAGCCATTTGTAGAAGCTAAATGTTACTTACTATTATATTTCTCCATTATACAAATCCTAACCTGCTTTCTGCTCGCCCATGTGGTCTCTTTATGGTGGCGAGGGTAAACAAACCCAAACACACACATAACCTGCTTTCATCCACCAACTTTTAGGCCTAGCCCTCCAGTAAGTCATTTGATAAATTGCCAGCTTCAAGTGCGCAAAATGAGGTAAACTATCTGTTTATATATATTGTTTACATTTATAGCTGGTGTGCTGTCTATGCTAGATGAACCAGAACCCCAGCTTAAGGTGAGTAACAACTTATATTTGTAGTACATAGGGCAGTATTTTCAGTGTTCATTTAGTAATAGTTCTTTAATAACACATTACTTTCTCTGTGACAATCTCTGACATTAAAAGTCTAATGGACATTGTCTCTCACTGCTGATTCATAAATCATGTGCAATTAGTAGTTGGTCACTTGTGGTGAAATTGGTAATTATCGTACTGGTTAGTTATCCTGGAAAGCAAGTTAGGTGGACAGACCGCGAAGATATCACCTGAAGTATGTTAAAATTGACATAAAAACCAATCAAACAAACAACTATAGTATACATGTAGGTCACTTGAAATAACTTACTCTTACTACATTGTTCTGTCCTAGAGGACAGTGATGTATTTCATGTTAAGTTCTTATTTTAGCAAGCTGATTTGGTTGTCCTGAAATCATGTCTGAAATAGTATTAACATACATGGAATCTTTGTGAGACAGTGTGTTGCCTGTTTGTCTTGTCTAGCAAATTTCAAACAGGTCTAGGAACCTCATTATTTTCTCTGACCAGAAACCAAAAAGAGAAAAATAATATGTTATTTGATGTGTTTTTAACTGTTACAATAAGCATTGTTTTGTTTATACTTATGGGGAATGTATAATTTGTTTTCAGGTTTTTGCTTTAGAGAAGCTGAACAAGATTGTAGACCAGTTCTGGGCAGAAATCTCAGAATCCATTGACAAGATGTAAGTGTAAATTTTATAATCTAAGTAATAGTTTGAACAATCATCATGATTATATTTAGACTTGATTAATGGCACATTATACCTTTAAAATAAATACATTTTGTTGTTCTTCAAAATGGAAAAAATAGTGTTTTAATGATATTTCATAATGGATTTCAAGAATTTGATGCATATCACTGGAAGCAAGTAATGCTGACTGTGAACTAATTTTACATACAAATAGCAAAAGCTAAAGTGGTATTTTGACTTCCATACACTATATATCACTATAACTTGACTAAGTTTCAAAATGCAAAAGAGGCAAAAATGGTTCAGCTGTACAGTCAATGAGTATTTAAGATAGGAAACCTAAAAATAAAAAGTTTTTGAGGGATGAAAAATATAGCATTTTAAGGGGCCTGTAAGTTCATGCAACTGATATCGGTGTTTTTCTAGTTTGTTTCATGGAACTTACCAGTACTGGTGTCGTAACAGACAACATGGTCATGGCACTCTGATATTACATATTTATATATTAATATATATCTGACTACGGTAAAAATCTTAATAGGTGGATGTGTCTGTAACAAATGCCAGAGTGATTTCAACTCATGTATAATGTTGTATACATTAAAAAATAGGGTTTTCCGTACAGTTGAAATACATTTGTAAAGGAAATATTTCTGGTTGCTAAACATTGCTATTTTATCCAAAAATAACAATATGGTCACAGTCTCTACATGTTCTTTTACTGTAATTTAATAATTATTCTTGTTGATATTTGCAGAGAGGTTCTTTATGAAGAATCCGGGTTCAAGCAAAGAGATCTGGCAGCCCTTGTGGCTTCAAAAGTAAGTTATGCAATATTCTTCATTGGCTTGTTCACCATTTCTACCAGTATTTAGTCATACACAGATATAGAAAGGCTGGCCTGACTCCATAATGAAATAATTAATTATTGTCATTAGTGCTTGAAATGTTTTGTTATTATTCTTGTGGTGCCTGATGTAATTAGCTTCCTTTACTGTGATACCTAGAAGACCACTGTATAACACTGATGCTGTGTAAAATATACATGGACCATCTGTTGTTGAGATAACTGACCTCAAACCGTGTTCTTGTTCTATGTGGGTTCAAAAAAAAAAGAAAAAAAGAATTTGATGCCTTTCATTTTAGGACTCACTCCAGCTTGTAGGAGGTTATCAAGCTATATATCTTGATTAACTTGATACCATGTTATTTTATACACAAAAAATTGACAATCTTTCAGCTAGTTTGACCTTATTATGTGCTCTTCTTTAATAGGTATATTATCATCTTGGAGCATTTGAAGAATCATTAACATATGCCCTTGGTGCCGGCAACCTGTTTAATGTAAATGACACATCAGAGTATGTTGAGACCACTATAGGTAAGCAATGTTTTCCTTATCTTTCAAAAGTGCCTTATTCCTATTTAAAAAAAGGTTTTTCTTCTATTCTAGCTAAAAGTTTGCTTCTGCATATATTTTGAAATTTAAGAAATTTTACTTAAAGATAAACATACAAATAGAGCCACTTGAAATTAATGAACTCCAAATGTTGTTAACTAAAGATTGGTGTTAAAACAGGGGACAGCTAGTTTAAACATTATTAATATTTAAGCTTGAAAATAAAAGTAGCTTATAGCTATTTTGCACCCTTCTCTTGTCTTTTCCTGGAACTTACAAATACTGATGACAAAGAGAGACATTGTCATGACCCCAATTAGCTTGAACTCACAATCCTTGGTTTGAGAAGCAGTCTCCTTAACCACTGTGCCACAGCTCCACACAGCTTAGGGAAAATTTGACTGATTTGACGTAAATTGATAGTTTGGATTTACTTTAATTTGTTTAATTCTACCACTGATAATTGAAAAAAAATTGTGCTTAGTGATTTAAATGGAACTTTTTTTCTTTTCTTTTGACCCTTTTGGGATTCTCCCCATGATTATTTCAACAAAACTGTAATATTTTTTGACTGTCATTTTAGTAGTGTAGTAATGATGTGTTTTATGTAACATACCCATATATGGTTTCTATTTTATCTATCCAGCCAAATGTATAGACCATTATACGAGATTAAGGGTAGCCAATGCTGAAAATGCTGAAGCAGAACAAAAAAATATTGACAGTCGACTTGAAGTCATTGTCAACAGAATGTTCCAAAGATGTTTTGATGACAAACAATTCAAACAGGTAGGAAAAATCTTTGTTAGTCACTATGTAATGTATTATCAGCATATCTAATGTAAATGTGTTTGTTTTTTTCATTTTCTGTGTTTAGAAAGTTTTTTTTTTTTTAAATTTCTTCTTGTTTTTTTAGAAAGAATTTTAACATTTTTATAGTCAAAATCATAACCTGATGAAGGGTATATCTTACTCAAAACCAGTAGTTATAATAGATATATAAACTGACCTGGTGTTTTGATGTGTTGTTCCCCCCTCTAAATCTTTTAATTTAGAATATTAACAAGTTAAATAGCCCAGTAAAAGCTGTTGGAAACAAATACATGTATAAACCAAACCCCTCGTGTGATGTTGTACAAAAAAAAACTTTTTGTATTTGAAAAAAAAAAACTAAAAAAAAATTCATAAATTGTCAACAACCATTTATATAGGTTATGTAAGCATCATGATTATCCTATGAAAAGTGATTTTATACAAACATTTAGTATTATAAAATTAGTTAGACCAGTTGCTGACAAATACAGGAAAATAATTATAGTCTGAGATAAATATGACCCAAGGCGCTTGCAAGGCTATATATTATCATATATCCAGTCAACAACTTGTATAAATAATAAATAATGCTGTTGTTATCTTAAGACAAGTTAATAAAAAAAACCCCAGCAACTTAGACTTTTTTCTTTGAAATGCGGGAAAAAACGCACATGGTGAAATGAGGTCAGAAATTCTGCAGATACACATACACTGCGCAGTTCTGAGAAATTTTGAGTTTAAAGTCGTAATTATTGTGTGTGTAACTATTTCTTTGAAGTACTGATATTTGAATCAAGAAATATGCCATGGAAAGATTTTTTATGCACACATGAAGTTAGCCATGTACAAGGTAGAAAACATTGTTATTTTAGCGTGCTTCAGTTCTTCAAGGTATATCTGATATGTTATACCTGTAGGATGATACCTGTAGGATGATTCTGGGCTCTGATGGAAGGACCAAGCCCTTTTTAGCCCCTCTTCTTTTGACAATCTTTCACTACTTCTTCTTATTGCTCTCACCACTTCTATGTTTAATTATATATACTTATATCTATTTCTGTTCACTCTGCTGTATAATTTTAACAGCATAATTTTTCAATAATAACATTTTAAACTTTATATGGAGTGTCTCCGGTCCAGTGTTTGTCTAGTTTTATTTTAAATTCATGAACACTTTTTGAGTCTACTACATTTTTTGGCAAATTATTCCATGTTTTAATTACACGTCTTGAAAACTGATGTAGGCAATGAGTTGTTCTACTTCGAGGCATTTCTAGTTTTAAATTATGTCCCCTTGTTGATGCCGAATAACTAAAAAAATTTTCAAACACACAGTCATCTAAGCCTTTTACTATTTTGAACGTCTGAATCATGTCCCCTCTTAATCTGCGATGTATTAGACTTGGCAGTTTAAGCTTTTTAAGACGGTCAATATATGTCAGATCTTTTAATGATGAAACTAGTTTTACAAAATGTTTTAGGCAATTGAAACTCAAGAAATTTATTTGCATTATTATAAAAAGCCATGTTACATGTCAGATGTATTTATATACTGCATAATTGTATTTTTAAATTAGTTTAGATGAAAACAGGTATGTATATACATGTAGGAAATATCAATGTCAAGATTGTCAAATAAAAGCCAATGTTACAATCATGCAGTATTATAACATCATCTATGTCATCTCTCAGCAACAATATTAGCAGCAATTATATATATTCTTACATTTTTGTCTATTTTTTCAGGCTGTAGGCATTGCTCTAGAGACCAGAAGAATAGATATCTTTGAAAAAGCCATTCTAGATAGTGTAAGTGTTATCAGTAAGATAAATTACCTGTTATTCAGTAGAGTAGCATATTAGTTTGAAAAATTATTGTACACATTATAATAAGTATTGGGATAAAAAAGGAACTTTCTTGGCCGGCAGGTTAAGGTTGTTGACTATAAACATCTTGCCTCTTAACCCTGTAAATTTGATCCACAAAGGTTTTTGTCGGTTGAGCTATCAAGCTGGCTTATGGAATGTTGGTGGTTCTACTCAGGTACCTGTTGCCTGAAATAAAGTACAGAGGGGCAACTGAGGTTTTCTTCCACCAGTAAGACTGGAAAGTAGCCATATGACCTATACTGTGCAAAGTAAACCCCATATCCCCCCCCCCCCCCCCCGCTAAAAAAAAATAAATAAAAAAAATTGGGATATAGTGTATGACTATTAACAAAGTTGTACAGAAGTTCTAGAGAAGTTTGTTCTACCTATAGATGACTGTCAGTGCTTGATGAATAGAAGGGCATTTTGGTGTCTTTATACTCAGTTTATAGATATGAGATATATATGAGATATATATGTATAATATATGTTTGTATTTGACAGGATGATGTTAACTATATGTTGTCATACAGTTTGAAAGTGACCATGTCCCTTATACAGAATAGACAGTTCAGAAATACAGTACTCAGTGTACTAACTAAACTCTATATGGGTCTTACTACACCAGACTTTATCAGTGTCTGTCAGGTATGTATATGTGCTTATACTTTATATATAAATGGTTTTTGTGTTTCTAACTTGTTGATTTTGAAGAGATGTAGGGGTTAAAGTATTTATGTGATCATACAAATTTGGCTGTTGAGTATTGTTTTTACTGTATTTGATGTTTGTGTTTTATACTGGTCATAAGTGAACATATTAAATCTATATTACTTTATCATAATAAGTTTTGCTTGCATATCCTTCAAATGTTAGACATGATTTTGGAATTAAAACAGTTAATGTTTACTGATTTATTGACTTGCTTTGTTTGAAATTTGACCGTTCAAATATCAACATGCTACAAACACTTAAATCATTAATAATACCAGTTACAGTAATCAGGTAGCATCATGCCACTTGCACCTGTTTAGTTTGTAGTAATATTCATATATCATTCACCTTGGAATAAAATTACTAGATATACATTATTTCTTTTTGACAGTGCTACATATTTTTGGATGATGCACAGTCAGTAGCAGAAGTGTTGGAAAAACTTGTGAAAGGAGATGAAGTAGGTGTTAAGATATGATAAATACCTTTTAATGATTTAAATAATTAAACTGATCATGTATATATAATTTAGTAATAAGGCTAGTGAGTGAAACAATTTGGTCAGTTACTTGAATAATAAAAACAATGATACAAATATACAGGTAAATGATGTAAATGATTAAGTCACTTATTTCAGTTATTACTTATATGATTTTATCACATACCCGTGCCTATTTTGCGACTCCGTAAAAATGGTATTGCATGGCCGTGCATATATTTTGACGTGACGTCATTTGTGTTGTAAAAACACGCTAAATGTTAGGCGCATCAATGAAAAATGACACTTTGTTACTTTAAAGGTCTTTAATTTGAGTGTGTGATAAATAGAATATTTAATTTGTGTAATTTCTTTACTGAATTTATTGAACTCGTTCAATCAAATAACATACTGCTCGCCACCACTGAGGCTCGCATAATATAATTTCATTCAACTTGTGCAATAAATTCAGTATTGAACTTACACTCATTCAATATCCTCTATTAAATAAACCAATAAAATTGATTCTTTACATTATTGAAAATGAAATAAAATAATCACTTTTATAATGCTGTACTTTACAGAAAATTGAAATGATAGTATGTCAATGAAGTATTTTTTGCTAGTTTACCAATGTATACAGATTATGTAGAAAATATATATAAACATTTTAAAATATAAACATATGTTTGATGTTATATTACAGACATCAGTACTTATGGCATATCAGATTGCGTTTGACATGTATGACAGTGCCACTCAACAGTTCTTGACTAGAGTACAGACCACCCTGCGTGCCACCGCCCCTGTACCTATCACCATTGAGAAAACCCCAGTACAGGAGACTACCCCTGTACAGGCCAGCTCTGATGATAAAGATAAAGATACAGACACTGCTGAAGGGTAAAACTATAGTCTTGTCACCATTATCGTTTAATATAATTAAGTCATCCTATCTAATTATTTTAGTTGTATATTGTGTATATGATTATCATTTCAACTTGTACATATAAAATTATTTTCATTTCGATCTCTCTGTGGCATTTTCTTAAAATAAAAAAAAACAAAACAAAAAAACTTTTAGATTTTATATATTTATCTAATACAAAAAGCCAATTATGTCCTTTAAAGCATTATCTTGAAATAGGATTACCAATATTATTTGTTATTGAATTATCTTATTTTTACGACTGAAAATACTTTTCCATGTAGTATTATATCTTAAATCAAATTACCTATATTTTACTTTGTGATATCACCATTTCTCTAATTCAAGTGGGATGAACTAATGCTCTGAAACCTTTGTTGTTTTTGCTTTATGTAAAGGGACATAAATGTGAATATCATAAAAGTTAAAAATACAGGTTAATCTCCCTTTATATCAGCATAAGGAAACTGAACTTTATTGATGAAACATTGAAAATGTAGCCACTTTGACTCATTGATTTTGATGCTAATTTGTTACATGTCCTTGTGAGACGAATCTGATCTATAGCTCCATATGACATAATTGTTTAGATTAAAGATTCTTAAGTTCTCTTTTTCTTCAAGTCAAGTAATAAAAAAAACTTCTAATGTAAGAGGGGACTGATTTATTCATATCCCCTTAAAGAAATTAAGAGGACTTTTGTCAGGCTCTTTTTCCTAATGAAGATAGTAAATATATATATTGATAGGTCAGATATTTTAAATGTTGAAATATTTTAGGACCTCGATGGAAACAGATGAAGGTAGCACACCAGCCCCAGCACCTGTGAAAGATACCAAAGAAAAAACACTTGTAAGTTGTTAACTTATTATCATAAAAAAGAAAGGGCCCCTGTAGAGTGTATTACAATGTTCAGTTTCTATTACAATGACCATATGGTGAGGTTGGACATTAGTCTGGCAATGTTAAAACCTAACACAGGTTAAATGATCATTCAAATTAAAGTGGTTGTACTTAAGCTGGACATGAAATTTTAATTTTTCCTTGTCAAGAAACTTTGTTCATTAAAACAACACAAGATAAGATTTTTAGTAAGATAAAACTGAATTTCTTTCTGAATACAGAGAACAACACACCGATTTAAGGTTAAAATGGATGGTATAAAGTAAGTGAGAATGATTCATTAGATACCATTACCTTGGTTATCCCTTAGGCAGCTTTACTTCTTCTCCATCTAATGTTATATATTTTTGCTGTCTTGTCAGCAAAACGAGCTGACTAAAATATAATTGATGAATCATTTCACACAGAATTATCTGCTACCAGTAGGAATTTATCATGATCACAACTGGTTTTTTTTAAAAAATTTTTACACATTGGAATTTCATTTTTACAATGTTGCACATGTAGGTGATCCATTAGCTAATCCCAAATGGCCCCCATCCTCCTAACCATATTTTTTCACATCTTGTTAGTGATGGCATATATGAACACTCAAATAATTTATGAAAAATTATATTCTTTAAATTTGACCAATTGTCTGATCAAATCTGAAATAAATCATTGGAGTAGATATGTACTTTGTAGTGTTTCTAACCACTATTGAAAACTTAAGAAGTGGCCCTATGACTGTATGACCATATCATTGTCAGTATGATATAAAACTGCAGTATTTAAAGCTGCATGCCTCCAGATAAGCCAAAATATTTCAAGAAAATTAAATTTGAGAAAAATGTGCTAAAATTTTAAGAAAAGTAAAACGTTTCAAGATTCAAGTAATGATTTACATGTAATATGCTATTAAGGGCTGATTTTGCGGTATTTATCACCATATTTCTACTGCGTTGCTAACGCGATAAGGGCTAATTTTGATCATTTTTACCCTTTTTATGAAATTATGTGGATTGCCAAAGCTGTTTGCAAAATGCGAATTATTTTCCTTGATCACTTCACAATATTTTACTTTTAAATATATTTTTAAAATTTTCATGAAAATTAGCATGAATGTTGAGGCATGCTGCTTTAAAGGTAATATAAAACACAATGAAGCGTTATTTTACTGCCTTCAGCCTTGTGTGAAAAAAAGCTTCATAACAAAAACATGGAGAATATTTAGCTACAGAATAGAACTTCTTTTTGTGAAGCCTGGTTAGTGTTTGACCATAATATATATCAATATGATATAAAACTGCAGTAGCTTTTGTTAGGTGATGTTGGTTTTAACTTTTCCTGTGACTAATGAGACAAGGGAGACAGTTACATATAATTGATGCTCTTAATGGGTATGGAGGTATAATTAACTGGGATTGATAACCTTTTTTGCACACCATCTTGTTCGTTGTATCCAAGTGAGACCAGTAATTATATTATACTTGTGAAGGAAGAGAAAGAGAAGCTGGTTATTCACCTTAAAGGCGTGGTCTTCTCTACCTAATTATTAGGTGGTGTTTTTGTTCTGCAAATAACTATGAAAAAATATAGTTTCATATGCTTTGCTATGTATTCCCTGGTTGTTAAAGAATTCTTGCATTGTTTCTGTGTTTATTATAAAATAATATGGCATTTTGAGTTGAGAAAACATCAATGGGGACCTCTACTGATATATACTCAGGTTCATTGATTTGAAATAATTTTGCCATGTATTAGAAATTCTTAACCCTTAAAGAAACTCCACTGAGGTCCAAAAAATTTGATTTTCTTACTTAGGTCAGATGGGGCACTTAAAACAAAAAGATATGCAAATGATAATTAAAAAATATAATCAGAAATATATTTAAAATCTTATTTTGTGCTATAAGGGTCATTTTTCACAAATAGAATAATTATTCTGGAATAACGGATCAATCAAATGATCTGAAATTCTGCATGCAAGTTATTTGTCTAGATTTTCATCAAATGAAACATGAATCTCGAAAAATGTCAGGTTAAACAATGTCAGTGCTCAGTGGAGTCCCATTAACCTGCTGAATTTCTTAAATGGATTTGTCCAGCTTCCATTTATGGAAATGTCTATTACCAATTGGGGATATTAAGATGAAAAATTAGTCGGCTAACAGCATAGTCAAGCTGCATGAATTTGCAGTCTGGTCTGGCTATATTCTGGTGGCAAAAACTTATCACATACAGTTATATGGTTAAATTTAATGATGATCATGGATAGACAAGGAGAGATTGATTTTTCTTGGCCATACAAAAATAGGTTGCTATATCAATTGAAAAAATTGAAAAATGATAGAGAGTTTCAATATAAAAAGAAAGGAAGATAATCCTCATTCAATCCTGTAGGATGTACCTTTAAATGTACCTGTACTTATCATCTATATTCATGCAACCTATTGTAGACTTCTTAAACATAAGCTTAACATTAATTTCAACATTTTGTTCACTAGTCATTTGTATTATTGTATATATTTAGACTGAATCGGAGAAACAACTACAAGACCGGTTAACTAAACTAATGATCATCCTCGGTGGAGACACAACCATTGATCTACATCTACAGTTCTTAATTAGAAACAATAAAACTGATCTACTTGTACTCAAAACCACAAAAGTAAGTTATTGTTTCTTATAAGCCATCTAAATGGTTATTTCTGTGAATTTATTTTGAAATTGTTATTTTGTGAGACTTATTGTATTTGCCCTGTTGTTTTACTGTCACACATCGTTTGAGCACCATTTGTTTCCAACCTTTAAATTTCAGGATGATTGCCTTTATTAAGTAGAATAAAACAAAAAAAAGCCTTAGACTTCAATTTTAATCATACTTTCCAAAGAGAAAGCATCAGATTGTTTAGTTTTCATTAACAGTCATTCACTTTAATATTAATTGCTCTATTACCAGTTTACTGTCCAACACTTAGTGCACTGCTTCTCAGACAACTCTTGTTTTGATGAATAAGGGGCCATGGCCAACTATTACAACAAAAGAAAATATAGAAAAAAATGACCCAATGGTCATGGCAGAATGGTTTCTGGAAATCAAAAGAAATGACCCAATATTTCATTTTGTTTCTGGAATTCAAAAGAAATGACCCAATATTTCATTTTGTTTCTGGAATTCAAAAGAAATGACCCAATATTTCATTTTGTTTCTGGAAAATCTGGAATCATCAATACAATACATACTAATGTAATGACACTTATTGTTGGAAAAGTAGCAATCTAGAAATTGTGCAAATTTTTTTTTCGGTAAAAAAGGTATTAAAAGAGTATAAATGTAAGGTTGCTATATTTTTTTTACAGGAAGCAGTTCGTAATTCAGTATGCCATTCCTCTACTGTGGTAGCCAATGCTTTCATGCATTGTGGCACAACCAGTGACCAGTTCTTAAGGTAAACTACACTTACAATACCAGGCTGTCAACCAATTCCTATATTCCTATAAAACTCCTATATTTTGGGTTGGAATCCTATATTTTAAAAAACCTCCTATTTTTCCTATATTCTCCTATATTTTGAATATTTTTCCTATATTTTTTTTTAAAATATATTGCCGAGGAATTCAAAGAGATTTAAATTTTGGTACTGCTTCTGGCCTATTGTATTTTACAGGTAAGGGAATGTGTATGCCTGTATCAGCATCACATTACTATGCTCAAGGCTGCTGTGCTCCACATAGCCATCTGCATGGTCACCATAAAAAGCAGTGCATCAGTATGTCAACTTTATTTCAGGTGACCATTCAGATGATGGTCATGCATTGCTGTAACTTTCTGCTGATGCTGTGGTTCAAAGCTAATGCAGGCTGTCCTGGGCATCCCTAAAATTCCTAAAAAAGTGAAAAATTCGAAGGGAATTCCTAAAAATGCCCTATTTTTTTCACTGAAATTCCTAATTATTTTTATCTTTTGTTATAAACATACTTATAACTTGTAACCCTGTCAAAATAATCACTGACATAACTAAGTCGACCATGTTTTGAACATGGTCAAAAATGATTTGGCCATGATTTGCCAACTCTAAATTGATGACATTGAAATGGTTTCATTTCAACTAAAAGTTACTTTGACTATGTCAGTAACATTGCTATTTCATAATCAAAGCAGTTGTTGATAATCATGTGGACAGTTAACAGCAAAAACACTACCATATCATGGTCCTGAAACTCAAATCATAACCATAAGAGTCCACTTATTCTGGAATATTTTGACACTGTTTTGCCAACTCAAGATATCTTGAATTTTATGTTTGTTCATTTTATCCAAATTTCTGAAGTGGTCCATTTATATCATATCATATTTGAAAATGATCATTATGAAGCTGTTGTAACACAATCTTAATTAAAAACATGTATAAATAGTTGTCAAAAATTAATGTACAATTTGTTTACTTACAACTATTTTATTTAAATCTGCATAATATCAAACCAACATTGTAAAGTACTGAATGGGTTAACATAAACTTTGAAAAATTAATTCTTTCCCTCATATTTATTTATCCTTTTCGTATCTTTGTAGGAGAAATTGCTTATTTTGCCACAAAGTTATCAATTTCATTCAGTTCTTGTTCTTTCATTCATATGGTCCCATTTAGGAAAAGGCAGACTCATATAATTAATCACACTCAAAATAATTTGGCAGTTCAGTAATATAAAGCTCATTTCCAATTACAATGTACACACATTTTGCAATTATGTGATCTAGATAAACTGCAATTGAATGGTCTGTGTGATGAACTTTTTTGATGTGCAATTCTTTGTGTTGGTTATAGATGCTTCCCATTTATTCAAATGACTGTACAAGGCTAATGCCTTTTTACTTTTTACCTACTTTTACAAAAAATTTCATTTGTCCATATTCAAAAGCTACATTGTGCAAGAATTTCACTGTATAAGAATTCCTTTTAGACACTTGTGGTTATAAAAAAATTAACATTCCCAAAACATAGGTAGAACATGTTCTTTTTGACATGTTCAGCCATTTTAAAAAATATGGTTTGAACATGATTTGACTATGACCATTTCCGCAGGGGAGGGAGTTGACCAGTGAGTCCACACTGGTAGCACCTTTGCTCAAACTAAACTAGAGCATTATTTGTGAGTTACTTATGTGTCAAATATGCAAAGGTTAGCCCACATCATGGTCTTTTGGGACCTTAGTTTATTTAGTCATAAAATTGCAAATTTTAGCCTTAAAATTTCTGAAATATTACCCTAAAATTCGCCCTAATTTTATGTCGGAAGGTGCTGGACAGCCTGCTAATGGTTTCCTTCATTTATACGGTAGACATTTTATTGTAGAAACAGCATATGTAAAAGTAAGAATAATTTACATTTATATAAGCATTGGTAAGTTAAACAATTTGAGTTGAAAACTCCTATTTTTTTGCCTCAAAATGGTCCAAAAACTCCTATATTTCCTGCTAAAATATTCCTATATTCCTCCTTTATTTTGGATAAGACCTGGTTGACAGCCTGCAATACCTAAATGTTGCAGTATATACTTTGTTATAACATTTAAGTTTGAAACAACAACATGTATATATATAAGGTTTAAAATTAAATTTAAGCTTACTCATATTAGAAAATTTGTGAAGACACTAATAAGCTTGATTCAAAACCCCTATTGATACTGTGAAATATATGATAACCTAGGTTTAGGCTGATCTTGCACTACTTCAAATGATTTGTGTTTATATAATATTTTATGCTGTTAATTAGTAAGCAATGTTAATTATATTTTAGGGATAATCTTGATTGGCTAGCTAGAGCAACAAACTGGGCTAAATTCACGGCCACAGCAAGTCTTGGTGTTATACACAAGGTAAGTCAATATCAACGTCAGTTTGTCAGACAAGATGAAAAAAAATCAGGCCTTTTATTCCAACAGTTTTGTAATGCCACCAACACAGTTTAAATTTGGGAAAAGCTTAATAAAAAAAATTAATTTGGGTATTTTAGAAACAACTGGCCACAGGCAGACTGGATATTGGAATTTGTTTGCTGCTCAGTTGACAAAAAAACCGATATATTATGACACTGGGAATGACGCCAATTACCTGTAGTAACTATGTAAGAAAAGAAAGAAAACAATTAACTTCTTGAATCTTGAAACAAAATGTAAAGACATATCTAGCATAGACTTTGAATTCCTTCATGGTGAAAGCTATTTAGCTTGTTGATAAAAGATCAGTGTCTCTTATGTTCAACTTATGTTCCCTCTTGATATCTGGAGATATTCTTCCATTATAGATGTCTCAAAAGTTTTACATCTTACCTTAAAAGCACCGGAGTGACTTGAATTTTAACTATCTTTTAAGAGTAGAAGCATGATTATAGATTTTATATCCCCTACTTACATTTGCGTGCTGAATAATACTCCTTAGAAATGGTTGGATTTGAAATATCATTTTCAATAATATGTACATTGAGTTAAAATTTATGTAAAATTTGATTTAATATTTATTCATGAAATTTGTATTTGTTATATCTAGATAATATACATGTGTAGGTCAAGAGTTATTTATAACATGTATTAAACTTATGTACTGTATTATATTCAGGGACATGAAAAGGAGGCATTGAATCTCATGTCAACATATTTACCAAAAGACAGCAGCCCAGGATCAGCTTACTCCGAGGGTGGTGGACTCTATGCTTTAGGTAAGATCACAAATATATAAAGGTCATTGGAAATAACAATCTAGGTATGATTTTAGAAAGCAGGTATTATAAAAAGAATAGGACTAATAAGACTGAGAAGTCGTTCACTTTTGAGTGTTACTGTGTGTATGTATCAAATGTAATTTTATGCCTATTGTTGTCATTGCATCTGAGGGTGTCTCCCCCTTTTCTATATTACCTTTACATACCTAACATTATTTTGTTTAGATATATTTCTCTTGTATAGTAGTTTATGATTTTTAGCTCACCTTGCACAAAGTGCAGGTGAGCTTTTAGGATGGCCAACCAAATGGCGTCCGTCGTCTGTCGTCCGTCCACATTTTAAATATTCTTAGGACATCTTCTATGATACCGCAAGGCCAATGTTAATGAAACTTGGCAGGAATACTCTTTGTATGAAGCTCTATCAAGATTGTTCAAAGAATTCCATTTCATGCAGAACTCTGGTTGCCATGGCAACCGAAAGAAAAATCTTTAAATATCTTCTTTTAAAGAACCGTAAGAGCTAGAGCTTAGATATTTGGCATGAAACATCTTCTAATGAGTGTCTACCAAGTTTGTTCAAATAAAAGCCCTGAGGTCAAAATTGGCCCGGCCCCAGGGGGTCATTGATTTTCCCTATATGCATATAGTAAAAACTTAAAAAATCTTCTTTTAAAGAACCCAAAGAGCTAGAGCTAAGATATTTGACATGAAACATCTTCTAGTGAGTGTCTACCAAGTTTGTTCAAATAAAAGCCCTGGGGTCAAAATTGGCCCCGGCCCGGGGGGTCATTGATTTTCCCTATATGCATATAGTAAAAACTTAAAAAATCTTCTTTTAAAGAACTGTAAAAGCTAGAGCTTAGATATTTGGCATGAAACATCTTCTAGTGAATGTCTACCAAGTTTGTTCAAATAAAAGCCCTTGAGTCAAAATTGGCCCCGCCCCAGGGGGTCATTGATTTTCCCTATATGCATATAGTAAAAACTTAAAAAATCTTCTTTTAAAGAACCCAAAGAGCTAGAGCTATGATATTTAGCATGAAACATCTTCTAATGAGTGTCTACCAAGTTTGTTCAAATAAAAGCCCTGAGGTCAAAATTGGCCCTGCCCCAGGGGGTCATAGATTTTCCCTATATGCATATAGTAAAAACTTAAAAAATCTTCTTTTAAAGAACCCAAAGAGCTAGAGCTAAGATATTTGACATGAAATATCTTCTAGTGAGTGTCTACCAAGTTTGTTCAAATAAAAGCCCTGGGGTCAAAATTGGCCCCGCCCCGGGGGGTCATTGATTTTCCCTATATGCATAAAGTAAAAACTTAAAAAATCTTCTTTTAAAGAACCGTAAGAGCTAGAGCTTAGATATTTGGCATGAAACATCTTCTAGTGAATGTCTACCAAGTTTGTTCAAATAAAAGCCCTGGGGTCAAAATTGGCCCCGTCCCAGGGGGTCATAGATTTTCCCTATATGCATATAGTAAAAACTTGAAAAATCTTCTTTTAAAGAACTCAAAGAGCTAGAGCTAAGATATTTAGCATGAAACATGTTCTAATGGGTGTCTACCAAGTATGTTCAAATAAAAGCCCTGGGGTCAAAACTGGCCCCGCCCCGGGGGTCATTGATTTTCCTTATATGTGTATAGCAAAAACTTAAAAATCTTCTTTGAAAAAACTCAAATAGCTTGAGTTTAGATATTATACATGAAACATCTTTAAGTAAATATCTACAAAGTTTGTTCAAATAAAAGCTGGGGGTCAAAACTGGCCCTGCCCCAGGGGTGTCATTGTTTTTAACTATATGTGTATAGTAAAAACTTAAAAAATCTTCTTTTAAAAAACCCAATGAGCTAGAACATAGATGTTTAGCATGAAACATCTTCTTATGGGTGTCTACCAAGTCTGTTCAAATAAAAGCCCTTGGGTAAAAATTGGCCCCGGGGGGGGGGGGGGGGCTATATACAGGTGAGCGACCTCAGGGCCATCATGGCCCTCTTGTTAAATATTTGAGTTTGTAAATTGACTGAATATGTTGGCATGGCCTAGTGGTTAATGTGTCAGACTAGTAATCTAAGGATTGCTTACCATATAGGTTCATGTCCTGACATGGGCATGCCGTTGTTTCCTTGAGCAAGAATCTTTACATTCATTGCTTAGTACAGGTTGGTTCCAGGAAAGGATTCGAAAGTGTTTCAATAAGCTTGTAGCTGTCAACACAATCAAACTAAAATAAATTTGTATAAACTAATATGTTATTTCAGGTTTGATTCATGCCAATCATGGTGGTAACATTACAGATTATCTTCTAAACCAAGTCAAAGAAGCCACATCTGATGTGAGTAGTTAACTTTGTAAAGCTGAATTTTATATAATTAACTTTAAATATAATTTGCAATTTTGAAAAGAGTTCAATATCCCTATTAGTAGGGAAGATGTGGTCAAGTGAACATTTCAGACTAGGAGTCTAAAGATTTCTAAGCACATGGGTTCAAACCCTGTCAAAGGAAAGCAATTGTGTCCCTGAGCAAGGAGCTTGACTCATTGCCTCGTATTGACAAGTTTCAAGGAGTTTATAGCCTCCTACAAAATGTAATCAATATATTTTGTATAAAGGAACAGTAAAAGTCAGGCAAGACTGCACTGATACTACATTGTCTGACCTTGATGTTTACTTGCGGTACTGATCTATCGTCATGAACACTCAAACAGAAACCATTTCTTATAAAATATCTTGATGAAGATTTCTAGATTATGAAATGATTTCTATAAAACTTTAAAATATGGAAAGAGTAGAAATTAACACAAGTTTTTAATTCTTTGATCGCACTATTCTTGTTTTAGAAATTAGTTGTAGACCTCTATATCTTTCAAATTATTGCTGAAATATATAACTGTAATAATAACATAAATAAATTTATGTAAGGGTATGAAATAAATATTATATAGTTATGTAACTGACAGGTCAGGAATGTTATATAAACATGTTGATATTTTGTGAAGAATTCAGAAACATGTTATATGCCTATGGTATAAATTAATTGTATATAACCAAACAGTGAAAACTAATTTTTTTGTTTCATGTATATTTCAGATGGTGCGTCATGGAGGATGCTTAGGTCTCGGTCTTGCGGCCATGGGTACAGCCAGACAAGGTATACCAAAATGTTACCTATACTATGTTATATTTGTATAATGGAAGGTTCCATGTTATGACATTGAAACTGTTCTCATTAAAGAATGGATTTCAGTATTAAAGTTGTAGAATTCAGCAGCTAAATGTATATAAAAGTAAGCTCTAATGTACATGCTGTTGCTCTAAGCTTGTGTTGTAGGCAAGTATTAATTGCTTCATACATTTCTTGAGATCATGATATAAGAAAGAGGCAGTGATATCTTGTGACTTATTTTGATGGATGATAAGTGTTAACTGTAGTTAAATGTCAAGATTGTATCAGAGCTGAAGGTTATGAATGATATTTGAATTGATTTTACCAAAAACATGGGGTCATTGTCATGGCCGGTCACAGTCATTGTTGCTGGCCCCCACAGAGGGAGTCTCCCTAATTTAGGTGGCTGGCTAATTTACTCATTCTTTACTGCTGTAGGTTTGAATATTGCTAGAATCTTTTCTTTTGGAGTTTCTTATAATATGTCTGTATGACTGTGCATGAAATAATCACATAGGGATACCTCAAATATCAAAGGTTACTAGTATCATCCTACAAGAAACCTTGAATGTTTCTTCACCATGTGTAGGTTTTACTTAAAGACCCAACCAGAATATAATGATTTAAAAGTCATACAGTGTGGTTCTGTAACAGTGATCATAGGTTGTAGTTTAAGTCATACTTTAGTCAAGATCAATTTCCATAGGTGTATGATTGAAAAACTAAGCTAAAACTATCTGTAAGTTACAAATTTAGCTTTAAATTCTGTTGATATTCAAACAAGTTTTACCACAGTCTAATTTACATCTCTTTATGTAGCAGATATTCAATTTTGTTTAATTCAAAATAAAGATAATTATGTTCCATTATTTTGGTGTCAAACTAAATTTAATTTAGAACCCATATATAGATTCTGTAATTTAATTCTTCCAAGCAGTGGAATTGTTTGTTTAACTATACTTATCAAATTCTACCCAAGGGAATATGATTCTTGGGATTATCATGTTTTCTGATGGTTTGTTTGGAAATATTGATCTTTGTATTTGAATTTCTTTTTGTAGATATTTATGAACAACTGAAGTTTAACCTATATCAAGATGATGCTGTGACAGGTAATTATTAAACCCTTCCTCCATCAAACTGCTGATGTGCCCCACATCCATTTCATATATTCTTATTAGCCCTTTCCAAGTTACCTTTTAAATTTACCTCTTCCTCATTACACATACCCTCTACACTGTATCTTCCCTCATTACTTTTTTTATGCACCTCCACTCTCTGTTTGTTGATTTTTATAAAAATATTAAATAAATTAGAATCACAGATGTTTGTTGATTTTTATAAAACTATTAAATAAATTAGAATCACAGATGTAACTTTTTTTTTTGAATTGGCATCAAATGAAGTCAGTTTAAATAAATTTAAAACAGTAAACTGATTCCTCCACACTGTATATCTTTATTATTTTTTTTCAAAAGAAAACCTAAAATGTGTATGATAAAATAATACATTTTACTATTATGATTATGTTTTAAAAAGAAAACATTCAATGTGTATGAAAACATATATAATATTAAGATTATACAAAACTTAGCTAACAATGATTGTTATGTTACAGGAGAAGCAGCTGGTCTTGCTATGGGTTTAGTGATGGTTGGTACAAAATCTGCACAAGCCATTGAAGACATGGTTGCTGTAAGTATCATTATCTTACTTCATGTGACACTGATGAAATAATAATCAGTATAGGACTAGGCCAACCTGCGTGTCCATTTCCAATCTGATTTACTAGGCTCTATACTAACATTGAGTAAATTCAGGATCATTAGTCTTTTACACAAATACTAGGTGGTTGGTGATACAAATAAAAGTTTGACATGTTGTTATAATGTTAATAACTTGTCCACTTCTGTTTTGGTCAGACTGTTATGAAATGGCATAATACACATATAAAATACCAACATTAGATAGTAACATCTTCATAATGGTTATCATAAACATGATTAAATTTTGTTTGTTGGTCTGTAATTGATATGAAAAAACTATAGAAGCAGTTTTACTGTGTAGGATTAAAGAATGATTTGTGATTCATATCCACATTTTTTGGTTCCTGCTTGTACCAGTATGGAACTATACCTGTCATTGTTATTTGTATCCATTGTAATAATACAACAAACACAATAGTCTACCATATTTACATTTAATTTGTGATGCAACCCACTGATTAAGTAAAAACGTTTTAGACATCTACTATACATCTGTGTGCAAGTAATTTTATCTGGAAGTGGAGAAAAAAGAAAAACAACTTCCTCAAAATTCAAAAAAGTTTGTTTTGTACTTTTGCAAATACGGACACGTTTTGGATTGATTTATTTTTCATTGCTATGGAAGTAGAATAGCTTAATTTCATTTTGTGTCAAAATATTCATAGGTTTCTCTGGGAGCAAATGATCTTCTAAAAGTTCAGACACAATTCTAGATGATTGAATACAAAAATGAGACTTTAGATTGATCATTGTATGATAGTTACACTGTTTTCCTTTGCTGATTTTATGTCATATATTTATCCTGCTTTGAATGTGTTGGTTTTACTCGAGTTTGATATCAAAGTACTGAAGTATACATGATTGTATTAAGTTGTTTGACTGCATAGATGTACAGATAAAGCCCATATTTATCAGCATTTTCTGTTTAAAATTTAGACTTTTCTGATTAATTGAAATTTTGTTGACATGCTGGTAGCTGCATAATAAACACAGTTTTTTGTATAATCTGTTAAGGTAGTACACCCCTAATGGGCACTATAAGGAATTGTAAATTTGACAACATAGGACAGTAATATGCCTTAAATGTCACCTGTATGCAAAATTTAAACAAAATTTACCGTGTGGTTTATGAGTTATGGACATTTTATGAACTAAAACTTTGCCATTAGAAGAGATTTTTTCAGAAATGAGGAAACTCTAAATAATCTATAATATCATCATTATGAAAAATGTTTTCCTTTTGCTCATTGTTAAGAAATAAATAATGACATTTAGGTAACAAATTAAACAAGCAAAATGATTGTTTTTAAACAAAATGTTTTTAATATGTATAAAAATGTAACCCTACCCCACCCACTTTTAACACTAATTTGACCATTTCCCTATGTAAAAAGCCTTATTTAAAATATCCCTAAAATTTTCCAAAATGAGGGGCTATTTTCAAAGTTTGCCTAAATTTTCTTTAATGTATATTGGTTGGTCTTGCAAAATATAAAATACTTTTACCGTTTAGTTTTTATTTTATTAAACTTTGAAAATATCTGGTATCATATTTGCTATTAAATTTGGCATTATTTAGTAAATAAATACCTACAATAATTATATAATTAAAATAAAACACTTTTTTCTTCCATGGGGGGTCTGAGAGATTAATAAAAAATGTTAAAAAGAAAAAAAAGAAAGAAAAAAAAATTGCCCCTTCTGGGGTTTGAACCCACGCCCCCTCAGTTTCAATACACTTTACAGTGATTTTAGTCTATTTGAATACTCTTCAAAGTGGAGACAGTGCATAAGGGGTGTACTACCTTAATATGTTATACCGGGAGAGCAGACTATTAAACGCTTTAGTGCAGAACTTTAAACTTCTGTCTTTAAATATTAATTAATACGGATGCTGACATAACTACTGGTGGAGAAGTCTAAATTTCCTGCCAGTAGAAACAAGTGCAAGTATTTATCATTGTAAAATGTTTTTATCATAATGTGAATGTTCTCTAACTTAAGATTTAGTCTTCAGTATAGACTATAGACCCAAGTCAGCCTAAACATCTCTGTGGACTTACCAAACTCTAGACCATTAGTTGAACAGATGAGAAACTTCCAAAATGTCATAACAATGTACCTAAAATTGAAAGTTATTTCAAAATGCATTTTTTTTCGTTCATGAAAATCAGCAGGTCGCAGACTGAAAGAACAAGAAGAAATTTGTAGTTTAAAAGCCCGACTTTATTCTAAACACCCATATTTTCCATCATGCCAGGAAAATGAGCACTTTCAAAAATAAAACCATTTTGTTTTCATAAACTAGTCAGAGAATCGTGTTTTAATACACTTCTACAACGTCAGAATTTAATTATCTTATGCCTAGAAGTCTAAATTTTGTCTAAATAATAATCTTGATGAAATGAAATATTATCTTTGACGTGGTTTGATATATAGATGTACGTCAGATTTCATCAAAGGTCTCTGTATAATGTATGACATGCCTGTCTCTGAGTAGATTTCGGTATTTTCTTGAAATGTCAAAACAATCATTAATTTCAAAATATGACAGACAATTTCCCTACACAGACAATGAAGAACAGAAATTATTTTCTTTTTCCTATAATTTTAAAGTGTCACATGTTATTCAGGGAGACTCAAATCTGATGTTGTCAAGCTGAAAATTATCTCTGCTATTTGTGATAATTTTTGTGGCCATTATAATTTTTGTGGCCATTTTTTTTTTTGCTGTATTTCAAATATTGTAAGGGATCACTTTGAGTGTTTGAGTTGCTGTGAAAATCATTCTTTAAAGGAAAGTGGTGAGCTGCTAGGGTCATGACAATGATTCTTTTATATCATACCAGTTCTTAAAGTCCAGGGGGCAGACTTAGAGTTTGATAAAATGAACCAGTGTTATTTTTCTCACTTAAAAGAGACCTTAGCCTCTTGATATTGGGAAAACTATCTCTGAAATTGCTAACTTTGGATGAAAAAAAAAAAAGCTGGTATAAGTTTTGGGAAAATTTTGACTAGAAAGAGGCCTCTGTTATATAAGGTGAAAAATTATTGTGAGCTTTCATAGCTAAGCTAAAATGAATAAGTTTTAACTTAACTGCTAGATTAAAATGTTTTAAATAACAATCAACAAATTAACATTACTGTATAAGTGGTTAATTTTGAGATGTGGAAATATTTGTGATTTTTGCGAATTGAAATTATTCGCAGTTATTGAATCGCTCAAAAAATTATTTCTTTTAAGGCAAACTTACTTCTATTATTTGAAAACACGTTTTCATATAGCATCTTACATGAATAAGTTTGACTGTTTAGGTAGTGAGATTAATTTTTTCTTGTTGCTTGTTTGTTTAAGTTTGGTCTTAACAAATCACAAATGTTTTAATGAAACAATATATATGTTAATAACACAATAGGTTATTCATATAACAAAGTAATGTTTTAAAATATGACAAAGAAATGTGTGATTAGGTCCTTTATCAAACTAACATTGTATATTTCAAAAAACTATATATAAATAATAAAGGTACTAAACAACTGAATAGGACGATTACAGTAACGGCATATTCTTAATATGTACCTGCTTAACCTTTTCCCTTATATAAGCGTGTTTCGACGGCTTTTTGACCCCCCCCCCCCCCTTTTTGAGGCCTCAAACAGTGAAAAAATGTCCTAGTTAGACCCCAAACACTGATTTTCGTTTGAGAAATGTTGTAAAAAAAAGTGACCATTTTTTTCGGCGCCGTCCCCTATCCAAATAATACATCAGGGGGTTGCCAGAAGGGGGATGTGCCCCCTTCTGTTTGGGGGGTTTGAAGGGGGGCGGAGTCCCCCTCATCGCCAAGAAAAAATTTTGGACTTGTGAGAGGCTTAAAATGACCCCAGGTTGATCATAAGGTAACGTGTAACCAACGCTGAAAAGCCTTTGACTCTATCTCAATCCCTTGAGAAGTTGCAGCACTTTGAAGTAAATTTTGATGGAAAAAATCGAGGCAAAAAAGTGATTTTTGGCAATTTTGAGATGTCCCCTCGTTGCCATGGTAACAGGAAATTTCAGACTGAGCATGTCGTTACAAAGGCAATGGTCCAGTCAACATTTGTGCCAAGTTTGATTAGTATTGAAGTATTTTTCATAGTTTCATAGCAGTTTGAACTTGTTAGAGGAGGCTTTTCAGTGAAAATGGCCATTTTTCACAATATGCTCATGGGGGAAAGGGTTAATTAATGATATCACAAAAACAGTATTAAATTCAAGAATTCATATTTTCGCAAATTTTTCCACATGCAAAAAGTCCACCTTTTGACATTCACAAAATCTTTGTGACTCATAATTTAACCTTTTACCCCATGAGCATATTGCGAAAAATGGCCGTTTTCATTGAAAAGCCTCCTGTAACAAGTTCAAACTGCTATGAAACTATGAAAAATGCTTCAATACTAATGAAACTTGGCACAAATGTTGACTACACCATAGCCTCTGTAACAGCATGCTCAATGGTAAATTTCCTGTTACCATGGCAACGGGGGGATGTCTCAAAATTGCCAAAAATCACTATTTTTCATTGTTTTTTTCCATCAAAACTGATTTCAAAGTGCGACAACTTCTTAATGAATTGAGATAGAGTAAAAGGCTTTTCAGCGTCGGTTACGAGTTACCCTAAGATCGACCTGAGGCCATTTTTAGCCTGTCACATGCCAAAATTTTCTTGGCGATGAGGGGGACTCCGCCCCCCTTCAAACCACCCAAACAGAAGGGGGCACATCCCCCTTCTGGCAACCGATGATGATATATTTGGATGGAGGACGGCGCCGAAAAATTGGTTTTTTTTTTAAACAACATTACTTAAACAGAAAACAGTGTTTGGGGCCTTAATAGGGCATTTTTTCACTGTTTAAGGCCTCAAAAAAAGGGGGGGGGGCAAAAAGCCTTCGAAACACGCTTATATAAGGGAAAAGGTTATAGGGATATTCAGGCAAAATAATGACAAAAGTATTAAAATGATCTTATGTACTCATATCATGCTAAAATGACATTTCTAAAAGTTTCAGAATGAATTTCTGTTTAAATTCTATATATTTTGTGTTTAAAGAGTAAATATATCTATATATGTTGAACAAAATTTAGACGCCAATAGAATCACCAAATAGTTTTAATACAAGTCAGGTGACTTGAGCAAACCCTCGAAGTTACAATAACAGATATTGTGGATATTGTATGATTGAAAGAAGTCAAAGTCATTTATTTGACATGTTCTTTAACATTTCCAGAGTTCACTTTGACAGCTATTGTGAAATGTTAGAGCTCTAACCTGACCCACGCGGGTCAAGTTAGGAAACAACCATTTTATTTTTTATATGAAGAAAAGTTTTGTTACTGTATTCATTTTGAGAGCATTTAAAGAATAATGAATGAAAAATTCAAAACTAAGAAATGAAAATTTTGCCTGTGTCTCCCTTTAAATATTCACTTATATAGTAGTTTAAATACATGTATCTTAATTTGAGCTTCAAATAGTGTATAGCAATGTTAAATTAAAAATAGTAAGGTTAGTTTGCTTTTAACTTGTTGCATTTTTGACTTACTGCTGTTGGTTAACAATATTTGGAACTTTTTTTCACTAGATAAATAAAAAAAAAAAATGAAAAATTTATAGGTCAGTCATATTTCAAATTTCTTTAAGAAGAATGAAATATAAAAATTAGTTGAAATATGTATTACTCTGAGAGGTTTCTTTTAGATAACCAAATAATTACAGGAAAAGCTTTTTGCCAATGGAAATCTTCTAATGTCTACACTTATTTAAGTGCTTGTTTGCTGAATTTCTTGTATTGACTTATCCAACTTCCATTTCTAGTTCTTTATCAATTTTAGAGCCAGTTTTTTTGTACATGATAAGTGCAATTAGGTTAGTAAAATATTTATAAAATTGTGATGTTATAATTTCAGTATGCCCAGGAGACCCAGCATGAGAAGATTTTACGAGGTCTAGCTATAGGTATATCTCTGACTATGTATGGAAGAATGGAGGAGGCTGATGCTCTTGTTGAAAGTTTATGTCGAGACAAAGACCCAATATTACGCTGGTCTGGAATGTACACCATTGGAATGGCATACTGTGGGTCGGGAAACAATCAGGCTATCAGAAAACTTCTTCATGTTGCAGTGAGTATTTTATATGATATATATATTCAGTTTATATGCTCCCTAAGGTTTTCAGTGGTGAATTTAGCTGCTGATATTTCCTTTGTTTGTGTTCCTGTCAGACCGTAATTGACACATACTTATGTTTCATTTAGTGACTGATACCTTTGTTGGGTTGTTTTATTTAGTGACTGATACCTTTGTTGGGTTGTTTCATTTAGTGACTGATACCTTTGTTGGGTTGTTTCATTTAGTGACTGATACCTTTGTTGGGTTGTTTCATTTAGTGACTGATACCTTTGTTGGGTTGTTTCATTTAGTGACTGATACCTTTGTTGGGTTGTTTCATTTAGTGACTGATACCTTTGTTGGGTTGTTTCATTAAGTGACTGAAACCTTTTGTTGGGTTGTTTCATTTAGTGACTGAAACCTTTTGTTGGGTTGTTTTCTTTAAGTGACTGATACCTTTGTTGGGTTGGTACCTTCTATAAGCCTCTTCTTGGTAACGGTTTCCAACCTATTATGTCAAGGTTACAAGATAATCTTTCTTTTTCTCATAGTTAGAGCATGTTGTTAGCTTATTCAAAGTAAAACAGGGGCCCATCCATGTATGATGTTGCTTTTATATTCTTGTCATGGTAAAGATATAAATGGCTTACAACAGCTAAACTTGATATGTGGAGTGACAAGCTTGTATGGTTAACTTACAAATGTTACTGTTGCTTGCATCTGGGGTCTTGCTTGCATCACATTATTTAGTGTAACTTAAGCCTATGAGGATGTTAAATCTAAGAAAAATCATCTACAACAAGAACTTTCATTGTATGTATGAATACATCTGCGGATGTTTCTAAATTCAACATTTCACCATTTTCATGTTTTAATGTTGAATTGTGCGTAAGTGGGTGCTAGGGGGCACGGGCGCTAACTAGCACTTTCCAGTATCACTCAAACTGAGCCTGCAACATTTTCAATTTTGTTGTTTTGGCCAATCTCTAGGAGTTCCATTTTTGTCATTTTATTCTATATCTAAACCAACTGTCTGTGTGAAATGCTGGTATGCTATCTAGGATAAACATATTTATCAATTTGATATTATTTCATAAGGGAAGAGGGAATTATTGATAATAATTAATTCATTTTTCTGTCCAATTTTCCATATAATTTGATCAAGCTTAAATGTACCAGCATAAACTCGGCTATTTTATCTCTTTATTTCATGTTATATTATAGCAAGATCTAGGAGTATGTCCCTTCAACATTGATTTGGTAAAACGTGATATTTTAACATCATTTAGAAATCTGAATTAAGGCCATTAATTAGCATGTTTTCAATTATATCAGATAACAAATAGTGACACATTTAATGATACATAACATATTATTTAAAATTTAATTCATGTATGTTAATAGTGAAACATGAACAGAAACATTCATAGCATCGGCATACATGCAAATCAAGTTGGTCAGTTTTCATCATTAATAATATTAAGCGCATGTTTACAATAAGCACTCATGACAAATACCTTGGAGAATGTGAATTAATTATCGGAGGAAAACGGAAGTAGCAAATATTGTGAACTGGAAGTACATGTACATATTCAATTTAGTTATCTAACTGTTAAAACCAATTTAGGCCTTATACCGATTAAAGTCACTTATATGACGTGTTAATAAAACATGATGAACATGTGAACTTGAGAGTGTCAACATCTCATTAGTATATACTTATAAATGAAATATTGATGAAATAAAATATGTATTTTCACTGCAGTGAAACATATTTTCAGTGTTTTCACTGGTGTCTTGCCAGACTATTTTCTCCTAAAATTCAGTCAATATACAAAATTTAAGGGAAAGTCTTTCAAACTTTGATGTCAAAAAAGAGAAAAATGTATATAATAAACAGAAAATTCAAGTTTTTTCTATAAATACAGGATTTATTTTTATGCCACCGCAGCATCTGCGATGCGGTGGCATATAGCGATTCACCTGTGTGTGTGTGTGTTTGTTTGTGTGTGTGTGTGTTATATAGATTATATAGTGAACTTAAAAAATCTTCTTGTGAAAAACCACTTGTCCAATTTTAACCAAACTTGGCATGATTGATCCTTGGGTGAAGGGCTTCCAAAGTTGTTCAAAGAATTTCAATCCATGCAGAAATCTGGTTGCCATGGCAACCAAAAGGAATTATAAGAATAAATTTAAAAAATCTTCTTGTAAAGACCCAGAAGGCCTAGAGCTTAGATATTTTGCATAAGGCATTGTCTGGTAGACCTCTACCAAGATTGTTCAAATTATAGCCCTTGGGTCAAAATCGGCCCCACCCTGGGGGTCATTGATTTTCACTATATGTACATATAGTAAAAACTTAAAATACCTTCTTGTAAAGACCCAAAAGGCCCAGAGCTTAGATATTTTGCATAAGGCATTGTGTAGTGAACCTCTAGCAAGATTGTTCAAATTAAAGCTTTGGGGTCAAAATCGGCCCGCCCCTGGGGTCATTGGTTTTCTTTATATGTATATTGTAAAAACTTATAGTAAAAACTTTAAAAACATTTCTTCTAGCAATTGACAATGCTAGAGGTTAGATATTTTGCATGAAACATTGTGTAGTGAACCTCTAGCAAGATTGTTCAAATTATAGCCCTGGGGTCAAAATTGGCCCCGCCCCTGGGGTCATTGATTTTCACTATGTTCATATAGTATTTTTTTACTCTTCCTGTCAGAAGGTACGAGGCTTAGAGCTGTAATATTTGGTATATAATATCATCTATGGGTCCTTTACCAAAGTTGTTTAAATTATTCCCCTAGTGAAAAAATTGCCCTGCCCTAGAGGCGATAGTTTTCCTTATATGTATAAAGTAAAAACTTGAAAAACCTTCTTCTCTGAATTGACAAAGGCTAGAGGTTAAATTTATGGCATGAGACTTTGGGAAGTGAACCTCTACTAAGATTGTACAAATTATAGCCCTGGGGTCAAAATTGGGTCCGCCCCGGGTTCATTGATTTTCATAATGTACATATAGTAAAAATAAAATAAAATAAAAGCTATTTTTGTCTGAAGGTACAAGGCATAGAGCTTTGATGTTTGCTATATAATATCATCTGTAGGTCCTCTACCAAAGTTGTTCAAATTTTTCCCCTGGTGTCAAAATCGGCCCTGCCTGGGGGCAGTGATTTTCATTAAGAACACATAATAAAAACAGAAATAAAAACAAATGTTTTCTGAATGGGAGAAAGCTACAGCTTAGATATTTGACTTGAAATGTTGTTTAGTGGACCTGTATCAAGATTGTTTTGAATTAAACCCTTGGGTCAAAATTTTTGCCTTGCCCACAGGAACAGTGACCTACTTTCTTGTCCTTTGATGTACAGCAATGAAATTTGACCATGTGCACAGTTTTAGTTGTAAAATTGAACTTTTATATCAAGTGACCTAGATTTTGATTATGTGACCTACTTTCTTGTCCTTTGATGTACAGCTATGAAATTTGAACCATGTGCACAGATTAAGATGTAAAGTGAACTTTGATATCAGCTGACCTAGATTTTGACAAAGTGTCTTACTGTGTTGTCCTTTGATGTAGTCATGAAATTTAGGCTGTCGTCTGCTTATCTTTCTGCAAGGGAATGCTAGCAGTTTATAGTAATACGTTGGTTTTGCATTGGTACCGGCTCATCCAGACAATAATATACGAGGTTAATAAAAGACCCGTTCTTCAACAGTATTTGTTCCTACACTTCTATTTAGTGTTGTATTAATGCGGTGGCATAGCATTTTCTCAAATGCAATCTTGTTATCTTGTGCTATGAAAGTTATCATATTTCACTCATGTCTACCGCCACCCATGAAATATTTATTTTCATACCACTTCATGAAAATAAATCCTGTATTTATAGGAAAAACTTGAATATCCTCTATTTATTACATTTTACCCAATTATTTTAATAATCTGTCTTTCATTAATATTATAACAAGGTCAGGAATATAAGCAACCAATGTTTGGCTTATACTTGCAGTAAGTTTACTCGATGTCTCAATATTAACGCCAGACATTAATTTAATGGAACTATTTGTCTGATAGGACTTGTAAGTCTCATTAAAAGTGTTGGCTTCTCCTGACCTTACATGTACTTTCCCTGATGTCTAAAATGTTTGTTGATTAGTCGGCAGATATTTGTAACTATTTCAATACAGATATCAAAGTTTAAGTAAAGAAAGAAGCCTTCCCTTATGATGTTTCTAGTGTAAGTTTGTTTAATTTTTATTGGTATTCTGAATTTTCATTAGCTGGAATAATATGGAAATCTATGAATGTTTACTAATTTAAGTCCCCCATGATGGTTAAAGTGACATTATGCTCATATTTTCATAGTAAAGTTGAGCTGAATTGACTTTTTATTTCAAAAACTTGACTGTTAAAATGGTATTTGATCAACAGTTTATTTTGGAAAATGTTTAGGATAAAATTTAAAATCTGCCTGAAATATGGAAAGACTGCCCCACTCTTTTTATAAACTAAACGTTTCAGGTAAGTTCTAATTGATAATTATAGAAATTCCGTTTCGATCCGGGGCTTATTCATTGTTTATATGAAGTAAATTACTGAATTAAAAGGAATCATGGCTATCTAAAAACTTTTTCTGACTTTCACCTGTTCACTCACTGTATACCCTCGAATGAGCATAATGTCACTTTAAGTGAAGCTTATAAATAACTTCAAGCATATTTGGTTTATCCAGTAGGATGGGGAGATTATTAATTTTACTGGACAAATGGTAGAGGTAGGACATGTTTACATGACAGATCAGTTCTGTTGATAATGCAAAATCATTAAATGTCTGAATATTGCATTTCTCCAGTGCTGTTTCTGATGATAAATGTGAAGAAGTTGGTAGTAACTTGTGGAGAAACAAGTTTCTAACATTGAGAAACACTGATTACAGCAAAGTGTGTTTTAATGTTTTAAGTATAATTGAAGCTTTTATTTTCTTCTAAATGCAATTCTGTGTTGTTT